AATCCGTTTAGTAGCGATAGATCTTCCTCTGTTGTATTTTTTCGACTGTTAAATTACATTTTTCTACAAAATCTGCTCCAAATTTTTGAAGTTTTACAGTAAATAGCAATATCTTTTGTGCGAGAATTTCTGCAGCATTCATGAATGAAAAAATTGTTTTTCAAGTTCTAAATTTGAAAAAGAAACTTCAGTTTCATAAACTGCTAGTAAAAAATAGTGGGGTTATTAATAGGTTGCTAATATGCACTAATGGCAGAATGGGTGTGAGATTGTATACCGATATTGTTCTGAGCGTGATTCAGTTTGAATACCGAGATATCTAAATCAGGGTTTCCGAAACTGGGGGGCGAGAGGTCGAGCGACGAATTTTAAGGGTCGCGAAGGGCACACCAATTTTACACCAAGTTCGATATTTATCGAAACTGGTGCAAAACATAAATCCCACGATTTCTAATATGATCAGAGTAGCGGCGCGCTTGCATAAATAACAATGTAACAAAAAACACAATAACAAAAATTTGTTTCTAAATCACCCGCGGGCCGCACAGAAGTATCTAGCGGGCCGCATGCGGCCCGCGGGCCGTATGTTGTGCAGGCCTGCCGTACAGCAACAAGTTTTTCCAACACTCCAACAAAAATAACCAACAACATTGTCAATAAATAGTAATAATAATAAACCGGTATTCTTTCTATTTGCTTGCTTTTACCTCTGACTACTGGATTACGTAAATCTACAAGTTTTAGGATTCTCACTACTGCATTACAGACACAGTCAGTAGTACCAAACCAGACCAAAGATACCCAGTACGGTACCGGTATAAAGATGATTTGTACCGGAGATGTCAGTTAAAATAAATCGTAACCGTTAACTATCTAAAATCGGTTAACCGATTAACCATTCCCAGCAGATCAGTTCCTGTAACAGTGTAACGGCAGAACGGATTAATTTAGTAGCCTACGGTCAGACGGTACCGGTACCGATAGCCTACCTACAGTTACCGCGATCCTTCATGAAATCTATGGTACCGCCACCGGTACTGCATACGGTACCGTGCAGTATATCTGTATGCTGGTATGTAAGTTATTTCCTATCGTAGTTCGGTATGGTCTGTCTAAAAAAAGTTCGTAGCTGCACACATCGCAGGTACGAAAGCTTTCAAAAATGTGAGATATGGTAGATTTTATGTGTGTCTGCATTTCTACGCACGACGTTCGATCGTCACATGTACGTCAATGCCAGATTAAAATCGTATGACGCCGGTCACATAAAAATAAATTATATAATCTGGAGAAACTGATTTGAGGGCAGTCTCCCTGTTGTATAGTATGAAATGAACTATAAATGGTGCATCCGAGTAGTTGGATACTGCATCTCTTTATCAATTGATATCTCTGCTTTTTCGAGCTTCGTAATTCAGTTTTTATTCCTCCGTTACTCCTTCTTTATGTAGCATTGCTTGCTTTGAACTGACTTCCTATTTTAACTACTTGATTAGCTTCTATCTGTGGTGTTTATTGTCTTGGACATTTTGGTGTGTTTTAGATAAATTTTGTTGAAAAGATTAAGCACATTACATTTGTATTGACGAAACGTATATCGTTTGCTTGGCGACTACCGCTTGTGCATATATTACCACGATGACCATGTATACAACCACTTGCCGTTTTTTTCATTTAAATACTAGTTGTATCGACATGCACTGTCATGTAAGTAGTATAGATTTCCTTGACTAGATAGTGTGAAGTCTTCATGAGATTATATTTTACATCAGGCATCAATATACCCAGATAGGGAAGGAAAACGAAGTTGATGGGATTAAAAAAATGTTTATTTCTAAAACATTAGACAATGGTGATCGGTAAATCGCATTATAGTCTTCAGTAGACCTGCTTTTAGGCTTTGTCATGGCGCTTGAGACATATGGTTTGCAATTATGTATTGGTATACTTGTCATTTGAGTATTTTTTTTTATATAGATTTAGAATTTCTAGCCTTGATAGTTGCGAAGCGGCAAGCTGCTATTGAAACTCAATCTCCATAAGCTTTATCAACCCCTTTCAATTTTGTTCAAGTTTTCTAATTTTTTTCCCTGTGTTATAAAAGTATTGAGCCTGTATACAACCCCTTGCCGTTTTCTTCATGTTTAAGTATTTCTTGTTCAACTATATAGTCATAGTCAAGTTTATTTTTTCTCATTCAGTAAAAAATAACATACAAAATACAAAACTGAAAACACATTTTTACTGGGGAAGGGAAGTAGTTGGTAGGCGACACCCAAAATATATATATATGCGTAAATAGTCTTTAGTGCAACTAGATTATGACCATACCAATGCGCAACGTTTTTGAACATTCATTTAATGGCATATTTTTGTTTTGTTCCGTCTGTGTTTATACAGTTTTACCAATGCTGGCCACGTCAATATATCAACGAGAATATCGGTCAGAGACCGAAGACTTATCGATCGAAACTGTGGTTTCGATTCATGACTCTATAGTGACACCGCGTGTCCCATCACTAATTTATTAATAACTCGCTAATTATACGACATAATTCATCCAAAATCAATAGGATTCTGGTCCAATATATGATGAATGCAAAATTGGGGCACATGCAAAATTTGGGGCAGATTTCATCTCGCCTTCGTGAGATATCGCGAGCATCTAACAGACAGACAAACAAATACCTATCTAAAAATCGATAAGTAATTAGGCTACATGTCTGTTCAAGCGGACTAGTGTTTTTCCTGATAATTGTGAGTGTCTGAGTGTCCACACAATGAATTTACTGTCATAGTTTTGAGTTTGTTTGTATCCTGGACCTAAACCACTTTATCACCTTTTCAGCAATGCCCAATTTAGCAATCAGTGTAGTTTTTCATAGCTTGGTATTTCTTAGCTTTCATGACTATCATCGTCACTGTATTACATTGTACATTTGTACTCTCCACATTAATTTTGTACGAGACTGTATTGGTCATTATCAACGTGTTAACAGTACAACAGCCCGAAAGTTCAATAATATCGCGTATTTTGTTTGTTCAATTCTGGCCCAAGCCTCATTTAATTGGGTCCGTGTTTTTGTGTGCGTGCTGGTGGGCAGACACATGCTATTTCTTGACACATGTTTTAAACTTCTTTATAGGTTTTGCTTGCTCTCCAGAATTATCCATTTTTATTTTGTGTAAATTTGTATTATGGAGTTTCCAAAATATGTCATGTCACGTAAGTAGTATCGATTTCCTCGACTATATAGTGTGAAGTCGCCGTGAGATTATATTTTATTTCACGCATCAATATACTTGGATAAGAGGGAAAACGAAGTCGATGAGATTAAAAAATGTTTACTTATAAAATTTTATAGACAATGGTGATTTGTAAATCGCATTAGTCTCTAGTAGACCTACTTTTGGGCTACGACGTAGCGATTGAGACATATCGTTTGCAGTTATGTATTTGTATACTCGTCATTTGAGTATTTTATTTAATATGTATAGATTCAGCTTTTTTAGTCTTGATAGTTGCGAAGCGGCAGGCTGCCATTAAAACGCAATATTCATGAGCTTTTATTAACCCCTTTCAATTAGGTTTACATTTTCTTCCCTGCGTTATAAAATTATTCAGGTGTTCGCAATAAAGTTATAAAAATAAACTAAATAAAAACAGCCTAGGGACTACTCCTAAACGTCAACTTTATGGGGCCAAGACTAAATTAATCTGCCACGTCATGAACTAGCACAGGGTGGTCCATGGTTGTCGGCCTCGCGGGCCACACTATTATTTTTGTGTTGTTCGTGGGCTACGATAATAGGTAAACAGCGCAATACAAAACAAACACTGTTGTGTCATAAGGCGAAAATGTCCTTTTAGATTGTCACCAACACAACTTGCAGATATATTAAGCAAAGCATTGTGGTATTTCTCCACTCATACCCAGTCAAAAATCTATTTAAATTAATCTGCTTTCTCTTCAAACTCATATTTACAAAATAACCTACAAATACCTGCAGATGGATTGATTACCAAATGCGAGATACAGAAAGGTAATTACTAAATTTTTTGAAATATAGTCAGCATTTTTTGTAATACTGTTTAGGCTGGTTGCAAAAAGACACTCGGCAGAAATTATATTGATCGGCCATTAAATTATTATCTAGTTATCAGACATAACCAACCTAAGCTAATAGGTTCCTCATTCGATTTTCAGTGTTGCATGAAGCCTATTTTGTTAGCATATATTCCAGACAAAATAAGAAGCCAGTCTTCGATTTAGACCAAAGTGATTGATTTAGACTAGCCTAGCAAACTATACAACTGCGCTAGTAGTCTCAGCTAGCCATAACACTAGTCAATAAAGTAACATCAGGGATGTAACAATATGGCAAAAGATTTCTTGTTTCCCTGAATATTGCGACGCGGGCCACAGGGGCCTGGTTTTGGACCACCCTGAACTAGCATTTTCGTAAACTTCTTCTTTGATTTTCAGGATAACTAAGCATGTAACATCACCAGTTTTAGCTAGGATGTGAGGTCGAATTCTTTATACTCATAACCCAATGCACTCCATGCCAAAGACATGCTTTGAAAACATTCTTGGAAAAATCATAACATGACTGTGTCTTTGTAACCATTATCTCTCAATATTAACTTGGAGATGATCATCCATCCAGTTGATTGACCGCTTGGAGTTCTCTGAAGGGATAGTTTTGGAAACGCCTAATACCCTAATTTAAACGATTAAACGCAAGGGCAACCCCCCACAAACGCAAGGGCAACCCCCCACACCCCCAATCGCACAAATGGAAAACATTTGCCTTTGTGTAAAATCCTACAAAACTTAAGGATGGATAATTACTGGGATAGGACGCCGACTTAGCTTTTACAATAAAGAAACTGGTGAAAATTGACATCATCTTCCACGACAGCACATACATCTTTACTATCAGCACATGGATCGCTAAGCTTTGATACCTCAACAGCAGAAAAATGCTACACGATGCATCGTTTTCAAAATGATTATTGCAAACTGCACAAGCAGCAAGATCGATATGGGTGTGATGGCCATGAGCAGAGACAATAACATGAACTCTTGTCACATCAAAATTATTAAAAGAACTAAATGACAAGCGGATTACTGCTTCGAATTATTTCTTTGATACATACTAATCATTGAACTTAGGAGCCTAATTGAAGACAAAGTGACATAAATTAAGTGTTTGCACTAGTAGATTAAATCGAATAGTCCTTAATTCCCTAATAAAACAAGAAATTAATTTAATCATGTGTAAATTGAAACTCATACTATTAATTATAGGGATTGAAATATTAACAAACAAGGCTGTTATGAAAGTTCATGATGATTGAAGGCTGAACTTGAAGGAAATAACATTAGAAAAAACAATGATGGACCAAAAATACGGTAGATTACAAATTACAGCCAGCATCAAGGCCAAATGTTTTCGGCAACAAAATATTCTGCAATGTACCACAATTTGGCAGTTACGGGGTCCATTGTTAAAGAACAACAAAAACATAGGTATAAAGGTATCAAGAGAAATACTACGAATTTATCAATCATCATGACATTTGTCCTGATTGAGAAAGATCAAGACCAACACCAGTGCTGCTGTTTGATCTCAATGTCTGATTTATATCCCGACGGAACAAGGACAAATTCTGAGTGAACCTGCGGCATAAAAATATCTCATTTAAACACCCTACTTTATGATCACAATTCACATACAGTTGCAATAAAGAATATCATTTTCTTGCAGTAGTGAATATACTGAATACAAATTGTTCCATTCTGAGTCAGACGTATCAATGTCAATACATATGTGTCAGATCAGCCAAAATAAATTATATTCATTTATCTACATAACTTTTGATTGAGCAATGGTTATATTTGTACGAAAAGTTAAGCAGTACAAGACTACCAGAGACTTACTTAGAAAACAGGTTGATAAGCGTACTAATACATAAAAGCAGTTTAATTTACTATAAATATAAGTAGCAGTATTGATTATGACTGCCTAGAGCAGTGATTCTCAAACTACGGTTTGAGAGCCGCATGCGGCTCTCGACAACCTTTTCTGCAGCTCTTGTTAATACCCCTAAAAAGTAATTACTTTCAAAGAAAATTTTTAATTGAAAACTAATCATTGACTAGAAATTAAAATGCGGAAGTCTATTAGTTAGTCGAATGGATTCCTCCGTGTTTATTTGCGTAGCGTTGACTAATCTACAAGATGCAATAGTAACGCAACTGTAAGCATTTTCGCAGCCACTCCGACACTTTTCACTTGGAAAGATTTTAAACATGGCTGTAATCATTATTGGCTTGCTTTCGTGGATTTTCAGTTTTTGTGGCATTTCCGAATATTATGTATAAATCAAATAATAACTCAATGATTTTATTAATTTCTAGAGCATTTTAATTTTGTTCCAATAATCGAAAATAGTCCCGAAATACTTGGCGATCATCTCAAGCAGCTACTGCACCTTGCATCCTCCACGATTACAACCCGTTTTGACTAACTTATCAGAAATCAAAGCCAAATTAAATGGCTATTAGTCTAGGGTGGGCAAAATCGAATCTTTTTTCAAATTTGGAAACTAATAGAAACATTGAAAAAGTTGGCAATAAGGCGTTTTTTTACTGGTTAAGGGTTAATTTCATCATAATCGCTGATTGCCTTTGTCACCACGATCGTTTCGGCGGCGATATCCTAAAGTTGGTATTCTATATTCCTGCCCTTTCTCGCTTTTTTGCAAGAATAAGGGTTCGCCGGATATCGAAGTTTAATTTTTCTAGTATACACTTGCGTTCACATCAGCAACAGCTGTTGAAGACATTAAGGGCTGATTTCAAAACTAAATTAATTTTATTCTGAGTTTTATCCTCTGCCTATCCTATCACCGCTTGTAAATTAACCGTGCCTGTTTAAAGTGAACGGTAACCGAGATGCAGATAATTATTAAAATGATAATTGAGTTTCTCATGCTTTTCTATGGTGTTTGTGATATTTTAGTATTAGATAGATAAACCGAACTTACGATTGCGTGAATCCTGAATGTTGATTTAAAATAGCGATTAAATAAATTGGAAATAAAAGCATTTCTAGGCCATTGTGCCTAATTCCCTCAAGTTTTAACCTTTTTTTTTCAACAAAGCAACACCCCGATGGTTATTATAGCTAAAATACTTACTGAGTAATGCTCAATTTTCTTCACGGAATTTGCAAATTTAGCACTTCACTTAATGATTTTGATTATGTCATGCCTTGATGCCTAATTATTACTGCCCGAATGCTTCAAAATCTAACAATTGTAATCATTTTCAATGATAATAGACGAATCAGCGTGCATTGTTACAACGATTGATTTATTTTATTTTACGTTCTACTCTTGGCTCAACGGCCATGCAAGGTGGAGTAAAATGTTTACATATTCGAAACATTACTTGGCTAAGGATGAAAGGGATCACTAAAGAGCTAATACAAAGTGCTTTAAAGGGAGTAGGACGTGACATTTCTTATCTGGTTACAACTTAATAAATGTTTTTCATACATATAAATGATATAATTCATACCAGCTTTTGGAAAAACTTTTGGTTATTTTTAAATCCATGCTATTTATATAACTAGAGTTTTCTAACGACCTAAAATCGCCTTTTTCACAATGAAACGCCGAAAAGTCATTTTAACATTTAATTTTAATCAACTTTATGTTCGGTAATGCAAGAAATGGCTCATGACATGTCACCAAGCATGCGGAGTTTAAAATCTGGGAAATTTATCTTAAATACCTAATCGGGTTTGACGTTTTCTAAATTTACATAACGGTCGGTACGTTTTTTTGCAAAATATGGAATTGAAACGATACGTTAGGTGCAAAGATAAGCATATAACACCATAACGCAAAGACAACCCCTTTTCAAATTTGTCGTTTTTTTCTGATAGCGAGCGCCGTTGGCAAATCTCGCACAAGTCACGATTGAGTTGGAGGCGCGCGAGTTCGATGTTCAAGCAGGTCACGTGGTATCGGATATCCGAATACATAGTAAAATGCCATTCAAATATTTTATAATACAAATATTTTGCCCAGCCTTAGTTGTTACGTGTGTTGTTGTTACGATGACTTGGTATTTTAAATATGCGCTCAAGGTTTGTTGCAATTTTACCTTGCGTTGTTTGTGTGCGGCTCTTCATAACTTTGAGGTTTGAAACGCGGCTCTGGGACTAAAAAAGTTTGAGAACCACTGGCCTAGAGTGTTAACACCGTAGAACTGATATGCTAAACTTGGAAGATAAATGAACCACTGGACTATTTATTTTAAAGCTTACCTGTCTCGATTTTTTGTGAGGAGATTTCGTTCAACTCCGTCCATCAATTGACTGAAGCTATTTTGTATTGCAGACATTTTTGTCGGATGATTTTCAAATTCAGTTTCACAAATTGATTTTTGCATAGAATTGAAGAACTAAACATGAACATGTCAAATTTTAAAACATTCATTAGTATTCAACTTTTTATACAGCTATTACACAATAATATCACTAGTCCATGCTAGAAAAATCTTACCTCTTGATTTAACAGTATAAGACCTAATAATGGCCTTGACATACTCCATTGATTTCGACAGTCTTCAAACATGATCATGTTCAATACTGTTGACATCATCTGAAGAATGAAAACGTTTATCACATTTTTCCAAATGTAAATGTTAAGTTTAATAATTAAAAAACACATAGCAGTAAATGCATATAAACTTTGGAATTAAAAAATTGGCTCATGAGTCATGACTAATAAAAGCATATTAATGATGGTTTGGAAAGAACGGAGCAAGATTAGGCTCAAGATAAAAATGGTGTCATCTCTGATCAATTTTATATTGAAAAAATTTTTGCTTTATTTTCTTCAATCTAAGCAGTACATGAATGCCACAAAAATATCACAAAATTTTAAAAAGCATGAGACATTCTCAGAAGGAATTTTTATTAAAATTGAGCATTACATATTACAATTAATGTTTCTTAAACAAATATCTAAAAACCATGATTAAACTATGATATAAAGAATATTTTTCAAGAACTACATATCAGACACAAATCTAATTCACCTTTTGTAACATTTCAGGATGCTGTGTCATAACTTGTAAAAAATGCTGATTGCGTTCTTGCGCATGAGGATCATGGTTATATCGTTTCAGTCTTCGCTCAGACGTTGGCGATCTTGACATTAATCGAAATAAATGAGTCACCATATTGTCCAATGTAGCGCAACAACATGTGCAAATCATTGTATCTGTAAAGGAAGAAAAAAACACTCTATACTCGCTGTTAATCTAAACTAAATCTCAAGCATTTCATTTTTCATCAAATTTGTCGGGACACTATTTTCTATTTGGTAAAGGACTTATTTCTTTATTTACAGATGAGTTTTGGTGAAACTGAATTTAAATTATGAATTAAATACACAAATTAAAATCTAATACATAAACGTCCTAGAAATAACAAAAAACAGTGATATAATTCAGCTCGATGGTTAGCATATTATGCTAAGTGTTATGAACAATGTAAGGTATTGACAAGCAGCTATGGCCTTCTCCACCACCAAACATGCACATGGTACAATTAACTGGTTTACTGTTCTCATAAACGACCTGACGAGAGGGTGTGCCATACTTTTAAGTCGTCTTATCAGCTTTTCCACCCCACGCCCTTTAAATATATAATGAGAATTCTATAATCCTATCATATATGTTAGAATTGATAATGAGTAGGGGTTTGGAACATATTATGGTTTTTGCTCAATAGTGAATAAAATAATGAATACATTTGAATATTGAACAAATATATTGAATATATTTAGAATATTTGCATCTGTTAAAAAATAAATACAGTACTAAAATTCAATGAAATTGAAATATATTCATTGCACAATAAATAGAATTTTACCTAAAGCCGTGAGGCCTTCTGATATTGAAGACATAACGCGATGCATCATATGCGATGGAAGACCAGTTAAAAAATTCATATGATCCTGCGCCAGTACTTCAAGTAATGTGTAGTAGGAAATACTGAGCTTTGGGTAATCCTAGAAAAATACAAGGAAGATTTAATCATACAATATCTGAATAAAAGATTTCCAAATTTGAATATTTCAGTATTCTAGAACTATTGAATGTAATTGTAATGAATTTTGATTTTGTATAATATAAATTAATGTACAAATTTGCAGTAAAATTGATGAATTATCTATGATAGTCAATATCAACTCCCATTAGCTGAATGAGATCCATGTGAATCCTCTCTTCAATTTTTCTCCCTTTCAGCAATATTTAGGACTCCATGGCGAGGTAGATATGTATTAGAAATTAACATATATATCAGGGGTGAGCAAGGTTTTTGGACCAGAGGTCAAAAATTTTGCCCACATAGACTGGCCGGCCATGTAAGTATGACTGAAAAGTTATCCCATTGCCTGATAAATTTACCTTTCCAATATTCCAACCAAATGTTAATTAGGCAAATAGAAAATACAATCTTATTCCAATCATATTATAAATAGTACGTATTAACGATCTAAACCAACAATCTCACCAAAACATCAGTTGCAGGAACTGACATCACCAATTTCATAAACATGTTGAGAACATCGTCCAGTGTTGGATCATTATACAGTCTGAAAACTCCAAAATTCACATAATTTCCACATAAAGATTGCTTCAACAATGTGAAACAAAGTGATACTCCTTTCAATCTATGTGAATATACCTTTTCTTTTGGTAGGTCAACAACTTGAAGTATTCTTTCTCCTAAATAAGAATATTTACTGTAATAATATCGGCCCTGACCACCTTCTGGCCTGCCCTAGGTTTAAATCAGGTATTACATTGCAATATTTACATTTCAGCTGATTTCTCTATCCTCATAATATCGTGATGTCACATCTCAGATGTAGCAAAACATCAAAAGTAACTATACTGAGATCCAAGCGACATGAAAGGAATTTTCATAAATCCGATAGAAGACATTGTGTGAATTGAAGATAAAAAAATGCTTAGTGGAAGTTCAACTTCAAAAGAATTCTATTGCATTGCCTGGTTTTCGAATAACAGCTTCCACAGCTTATACTCTTATGCCACTCATTAGCACTAGGCCTGGGCATTTCGTATTAAATAGCAAATTACTCGAATTGTTTCAGAGCAAAATTTTGAATCACTGCCATCTTATTTTTTTTTCTTTCTGCCAATGGTCGAGGTGAAGATCTCAATTTTTTTATGGAAGCCATATATTTTTCAATACAATTTTGACATACGACTCTTTTCTGTAGTACGTTATTGAAGAAAATGTGTTTTTTTAATGTGCCAGTATTAGCACACAGTAATCGAGATTGATTCAATTTAACACTCCCTAAAAGAGTGATATGTATTCACAATTAATAAAATAGAGCAGGAACTACGACATAAGAATATGAGTAATTTTTAATGTAGCAAACAATAAGTCTCTCACCATAAAGACAAATCATTTTGCTTGCTTCTTGAAATAATAAGATACCATTAGGAGATGAAACTTCAAATTGTAATCTCTGTCCACGATTTAATACTAATTCACTCATCATCTGGAAGATCAAAAACACAATGATATGGCATAAAACCAAAAAGAGGCTCTGAATTACTAACAAATATTGGTTAAACGCAGTTCAGTAAAGTACCGTATATGGTCGTTTTACCTCCCGATCTTGATTAAGGGCTCGTTCGAATAGCCGCCCGTGTAAACAGAACATAAAAATAAATAAGGGCCGGTGCTTGAATACCCGCTCGATGTAAAGCTGATTTATCAGTGGTAGAGAACAATAGGAAATAAGAAGCGCTTTTGTCACAACGCTGTTAAATTTTAAGCGCTGGTAGATAACACTCACGCCTTAGGCGTCCAAGTACATAACAGATAGCATTGATCACGTAACACCATAGTTCTCAAACTGGGCGTCGTTTCAATATTGATAGGGCGAAGCAAAACTTTTCTTCTTTTGCGAATTAGTATCTGCGGTGTGTTAAAAAAGTCAAAATTTTCGTTATTCTCGTTTAAATCATCCCTGTTATCGTAACAATCGAAAATAACAAGCGCCCGTGCTTGAATAAGGGCCGGTTTGAATAAGGGCTCGGTTAGTGAGTTGGTTGAAAAAAATTTGGGCCCGGGCTACAAAACGAGCAAATATGGTATGTAAAAACACCATATTTAACATAATTTTAGAAAGAATATTGATTCCTATAAATGATAGTTTCTTAACTAGGTGTGAGAACTGGTACTTGTGCTTGACAATGCTAAATCATTAAGATTGGTTAACAGTAAAATAGAACAGTTACACAGATTTGCTTCAAATCAACAATGCAAATACTCATGTATAACCATAATTTACTAAGTATTTGCTAATGTAATACTAATTCTATTCCCGTATTGAGCTCTTTAGGTGTCAAAAACATACAGAAAAACAATAAAAATTACACACTTGTTTTGTGAGAATCGGCTGAGGATTTGAAAAAGGTGCGAGAAAGAAAACATTAGTATAGATATGCCTGAGATAGGTGCTATTCTACACTTATGTTTCTATGAAGCATATGAAAGTAGCAGTTAAGGAAACAATCGTATTGTACTTTTCACCTTTAAAACAGGAGTAGTCACAGTAGGATCCAAGCACCATACATCAATTGCTTTTTGCATCACTGACATGAAGTGAGGATAGCTTATAATTTGTTGAAGTCAAGAAAAAACGTATTTTTTAATACCACTGCAGTATTTCATTCAGAACAGGGCCCTTTAAACTGGGGGTTCCGTACACACGGTGGGTCACGAAAGGGCTCAGTGGGGTTCACAGTGAAATATGTATCAGCACTAACATAATATCGATCAAATTCGAAAGATTTGAAACCAGTACTGAGACCCACTTTTTAGCGATATAGCCAAATTCAAGCTTTTGTGCAAAAATATGCAACATCGGTATCATTATAGGTATTGTCGATTTGATTATTATTTTTCAATATTTATTTTCTGTATTATTAAATTTTAATTTATTTATATTTTAGTTCTTGAGGGTCGCGAAAAAATTTTGACGTGCCAAGTGGGTCGTGATAAAAAAAGTTTGACAAACACTGATTTAGAGGATATATAAATTTGATGCCACTGTCCTCTAATTCCTTTAAACTGAATATTTCAACGTATTCCAAATTTGCTATATTCAATTTTGTTAATGCTAGCTATTGCTAACTATTTTTGTGCATTTTCAATGTGTATGTTTAAAAACTCTATATTGTATAAAAATTATTTAAAAATGACAAACCCTAACTCAGTCCCTAGGAGCTCTATTACCTGTATTTATAACATAATACTTTCTTCAAATATTGCCGATAAGGAGATGCCCAGTTAAAAATATTGAATAATTTCATTATTCAAAAGGATACAGCCAGTCAAAAAGCATTGCATAACTAGATTTTGTGTTAAATGCATAAGTAATCCCATGTAAATCTCTTGACAACCCAATCATTGTTCTCATAGCAATGTTGTTCAATGATCTGGAATGGAATATGAGAGTTTTTTTACAATCAACATATCTATGTTCATTTCTATATTCATGTTTTAAATAGTAAAAGAGCTTCACATTCCAATCATGATAAAAACCAAAGACAGCACCTTTGTAAAAGATTTTCACTAACAAAATTCAAAATACACAAGGCCCTATATAAGCAGAAAAAGACATTTGGAATTGCTATAAATAGAACTAGAAATACTTTTATTCGATCATAACAATTTTTTATGACCCAAATTCATGTTAAGACGATGAGAAGTACTTTGTATACTAAAAACGTTGAGCGTACTAAGACTGAATATAGGGGTTATCAACCTTTATTCTCTTATTTACCCGTTCACAAATTTCAAAGATGAAATTTACACCCAAGTTTTGTTTATTTTTCACTTCCACAAATACCTATGATGATTCTGACACATTTGATCATGCTCGAAAAATATAAGCCCAATTTTAAACCAGGTTGATAAACTGGTACAAGACAACACCAATTGTGCCACCAGCCTGCATGAACCTTCCACTCAAATGTACTATTATTCACGCCAAATTGGGCCATTAAAATTCTAGGCAAATATAACAATATAAAGTTATTTGTACTCACGCATCACTATTGAGATTGGTTCTCAACATTTGAACAAGAGAATCAAGTAACGAAGATAATGAGCTCATGAAATCATCAAATCTTTCTTCATCCTCCCCTATAATATTACATGTTCAAATTATATTGGACAAAGTAAACATTGTTGAAAAATAAATAAAAATATGGACAACAAATTAGCAATTAGAGATGTTAAGATGTTCCTGCGCCATTATTTCGCCTGATAACTTTTTCTAATAAGCCTCAAGACAAAGGGTCACGGACTAAATGTATGTGGCTACCATTTTTGATTGCAATAACCACATATTAAAACCAGAAATATACTATAGCCGATCCTTACCCAAGTCAACAATTAATAAACGTCCGAGAGCCATATAAAGTGTAGTTCTACATCGAAGATCAGTGATGGGTGAGTTAACACCGAGAAAAGGAAATTGTGTACTCTGAAACAACAATCATTTAAATATTTTATATTTTTGAATATCACATTCTTTTCGCAAGTAATTGTATTACTACAAAGAATCATTAATTATTCATTAAAAGAACAAAATGTTTAGCGTTACAATATCCAATTTTTACAAAGTCCCTGATATTTCTGTAAAATCTTTTCGAAAAACCAACACTTAATAGTAAAATTATCAAACAACATTAAATCATTATAAATATAATTGCAGTTGCAGCACATATTACACTTAACAAATTTTACGACAACATTGGTGACTTGTAAGAGCTTGTTCACTATTATATAAATATGTCGTTTTTTTTTATTTTTCTCTGATTTATGAAACAATTATAATGCTATCAGAGAAATTATCCATTACCAACTCAAAAAAATATAAATTTCTTCGTACATAACCTAGCACAGTTATGCATGATTACTCACATTATGATTCTTCAATAAAAATTGTATTGCCTCCAATTTTACGAGTTTTCTGACACTACTGTATCCAATAGAAAGATCATTTAGTAATTGCAATGTCTTTGTTATGATTGGTTCATGATTGCTCCAATATTTTAAGTTCTTTATTCTAAAAAATACAAATAAATTGCAATCATTATCAAAACTTAATCTCGTAACTTGATAAAAAGTTATGCTGTATGTCGCAGGGTATATAAATCTTGAATGAAACAATGGCTGTGGGTACGAGTTAACTAATTCAGACCTGGTCTGGCGAACGAATGAGTTGGACTAATTAATTTTAATCCATTTCATTCAATATTCCATATTCATAAATGTTATTTCGGAATATTTTCGGAATAAGTTATTGTACGTGGTCATGTCCACTTAAATTGTATGACCAATGGCCATGTTCACAACCTGCCAATAACTCTGCCCTAAATTTTGAATTTATTTTCAGTTGGGTTATTATATTAACTTACCGTATTTCCCAGCGAATTGGTCAATAAGAGGAGGCCCGTTTTCAAGCCTGCAAAAATGGGTTTTTGCTAATAACCTGCCAATAAGTCGGGGTAGTAAAATCGCATCAACATTGGAATCACAAATTACCATGCAATGCCTTTTGAGTGGTCGCGGCGTTTACACATTGGTTAAAATAGCCTATAATGACGTTTTTTTTGTAGCGCAATATTCGATCCATAATAACTACGTGAATTCAAGCCGTCTTTAAATTTTAATCTACTTTGAGCATCTGTTCAACTCGCGATTGCGTCCACCATGAAAGAACATTACCTAATACATAATAAGGTGACACCAAAAAAATGAAAATTATCATACTCGCCTAATAAGACGACCCCCTCCCAAAATCAGGCCATAAATTTAGGTCTAGAAAAGCGACTTATTCGCCGGGAAATACGGTATATTTACACAAAACCAAAGCAACGGTTGGTAAGAAGAATGTTTCAGAATAAATGCTTCATGAGCTAAATGCCTACTTCCCGCATTTCTGAACTTGAAAGTGTGTATTAAATGTGGAGAAATACAGTTGGTAACATAGGTTTTTGTTCAATTAGTAATGCTGAGATATTAAATTAGAAACATTTAAGAACTGATAAGCGACGGCAAAACTTACATTTTTGTGACAAATACATTTAAAATCATTGAGTCATCTGTTATTTGGAGAACTTCAGACAACCTTTTATAAACCTGCAAAGAGTGAACAATATACTGACAAAATTATTTTTTACTGAGGCATTTGCATTTATAACATTATTAACCTAACACTTTGCCAGATAATATTATAGAAAAATCCACACACTAGATAAGTTCATCACATAAATGACATTGGATGACCTCCAAGACAAAACTCTTCAAAATAAATAAAGCTCATGACGTCACAAAATCGGCCATTAACTCAGATAAACTATACCGAAAAAAGAAATTTTTTTTGGTGCTTCTTGCAAAATGAAGTTTCACCGTTACCTTTGATGTTTTTTGTACTTGGTCACCAACATAGATTTTTCTATATTGTTCAAAAAATGATAGAAGTGCAAGTTCAATGTTAGCAAATCCATGTCCTGAAGTCAAACGTCTGGTAAAATAAAAATTTCAAAAATAATCCTTCTAAGTTTACTAATATTTAGCATGTACTCCTTTCATATGTATGATAGAAAAAAAAATTTATGGCAGAACTCCAACTAAATTTTCTATTTTGCAGTTTTGATCAAGCAAAAAAATGCACCCAAGTTAAGTTTTAGTGATAATACCTATTGTCATATTCTACACATATAGATGATAAAAATTTATCAATGTGTTACTCCCGAGGAAAATAACTTTGCTGTGCGCACCAAATAGCAATCACATCATTCTGAATCAGTACCATTAATTAACCAGATTTGAATCTGCAATTGGTGTGATTAAATTATCTTCTGTGATAATATGACAATTCAGCAAAATACTCACGTATCTGTAATTTCCATAAGTTGTAAGACTCTGAGGACTAATTCACCATCCATTGCATCATGATCATCATTAGATGCAAAGGATACTCGACCACCGATAACAGCTCCAATTAAGTAAACTATCCACGTTAATTGTCCTGTATGAAGGATAAAATGATAAATATAATATATATTGTATATTAACTAAAACCCATTTCTACAACAATATTCTATAACTACCATATCAATCCATAAACATTTGGAAATATTCCTTTTGAAATCAAGCCAAAGCCTTCTGCAATCGGAGATAAGAAGTCGGAGACCAACTCTGAGCAATTAAAAAATGACTCAGACTCAGAGATTTTGACTCCGACTACAGCCCCCCACTCTAATTAGGAAAATTTTTGACTCCGGTTGTGATTTTTGTAAAAAGACAATTAAGAGACAATTAAAATATTGCACAGAGTTTTCTCAAGACAAGAAATTTTGCATCGGGGTTTTGCTTCACTGAATAGCTTGAAAACCACTGCTCTAATTTGGAGCTCTGTACAAGCAGAATAAAATAGACCAACTATTTTTGTAAACACTAAACACTATAAGTTTACCACTGTCTTGCGAATTTATTGCAGTCTCCCTGTGATGAGGTACAGGAGTTAACCTATTCTCCTTCACATATTATATAGCCTACTTTACCTTGTGGCAATGCAAGCTGTTGATCATCTGCATTTGCCTGTAAGAGTTTTTGCAGTCCTGAAGCAGACTCATCAAACACTCGAACCAAATGCTAGAAATAGAAAAAGAAATAGGAGAATAGAAGAAATAATGAAGATTTTTGAAACTTAGAATTATATGAAAATAGATCTATCGCAAATTCAACAGAAAAGCATACTAGCTGTAAGGCAATGACAAAATGTTTACAAAAAAAATGTGGCGATCGACCCATCGAATACTGTGGTAATTATTATGTGCGGGTGGATTGCTGGACTCGTATGGCCGAATGGTGGTTCATGTACTGTTGGTTGGTTGACTAGCTAACTAATTCCATACACGACATGGACTGGTAACCCAACAGGAGGTCAAGCCACATGATTAAGTCGTCTTATCGGCCTTCCTATTCCCCAAGACAAATTTGAAAATCCCATCCTAAATTGTAGAAAAGTAAAAAAAATTTTTTATCAATTTTCTTTCAAGAAGAAAAGTTCTCAGTCTGCATACCTCGCATGTCTTTTCGTATTCACATCTGGCAATTGTTGATATTTGATCCAACTGTTGTCTTATGATATCAATATCATTCAATGGATCTTCTAAATCATCTCTAAAAAACAAATGCAGAAAAAGATAAAACACTTTGAGATAAATCGAAGTGAATACATACATATACATATAATAACACAGCTAAATCGTTATGTTAAAAAAAAAAATTGGAATTGGAAAAAGTAAATTGAAATTGCCAAAATTAATAAGATCTCAAAACAACAACAAAGAAAACTTATCACGGTTAGATTCTAAAGCGCTTACTAAGTTTCCTGCGTTAAGCTATCAGAAATAGACAATTGGACAACGAGATAATCACACATGAAGTGAAGCCGGAAAAAAGATAAAATAAATTCATAACATCGTGAAGAAACTAGTTTTGCTTTGTGATTAGTAAGATGATGAACTATACTGAAATTTACCTCAAAATCACAGCTACAGATTCAAGTCTTGAATCAATAAATGCTTTTGTTATTTCAGGAGTATATGTATCTAACGAGTGAGGTTCTTGAGCTTTCACATAAGGCACACTAGCAGCCATTCTCTATAACAAAACAAAACACTATTAGAACTTTCATTTTAGACATTTCTGATTAGAAGATATGCAATATATAAAAGGTTAGCAACACAAATTATGTGTGATATTCGAACATGGTAATTCAAAAACTTCAAAAAACTCATATTTGGACATGTTCATTGACGTGCCATGAAGTTGTATAGCAGAAACAATATTTGAAATACAGAACGTGCAAATAATATTGGCCATTTTTGTGCTGTTATTTTCAACAATATTTCAATAACGACTATTATTTCAGTATTTTTCAAGAGAACATCGAATAATTTTAAAATAAATTTAAACCATTAGAATGGCCACAACCCATAATTATGAGTATTAATAGAAATGTGCTGTTGGTTCAAAGGTGCATGAATATAAAATCAAATAATATGACTGACCTGCCACAAACTGAGTAAATAATGTAATGAATTAGGAGAAAACTGCCACATCCTTAGCGATGTAACAGTAAAATTTGCTATCAATCTCATGCATTCTGTGTAGCAAGATACTTTGACTAGTTCTCCAAGTTGATAATTTGATTTCAGTCTGGCAAGAAGCCGACAAAATTCATGGTACACGCTTGCATCAGCTAATTTCTGAAAATAACAATAATGGAAATGATATGAAAAGCTGAAACATTTCTAGAATTATTGTATAATCAATTAAAATTGGAGTCTAGGCAAAAATATTGAAACAAATTGCGAGAGTTCAATAACGGTATTTTGATTTTATTTCCAAATTCCAATCAAACTTAACTATTTGATGTAGAACTATTATAAGCATAATTAAAGATGTCATAACTGCATACTTGAGAATTTTCCAATATTCCTTTGATACCAGATAAAAGGTCGGAAAGAAATTTAGATCTTTCGGCGTTATTAAGTAGAGTTCGACGTACTGAAGCCATTTGTACAAGACATGACAGTAATGTCGCACATAATGATAAAGGAAGTCTGTAAATAAAAATAAATTTAAGCAATATATATGATGGATGATGTACAATCAAGAAACAATAATCAATGTCCGCATTGATCAAACAATAATACAAAATATGTTATATGTAAGTCATCGTTGTATTGAATGAACGGAAAAAAATATATATTAAAAATATATTATTATGTCATAACCAGCAAATCATCTACAACATGCAGGGATTCTCAAACTTTTGGTGTTATGGAGCCTGTGAAAAGGTTAACTGTTATTTACGAAGCCCCATAATAAATTTATAAAAATAAAAACTATCTATTGGAACTTATAGCTTATGTCGTATTTGAATTACCGCCTTGCATTGTCAAATCCTATTAAGGCCTTTTTAGAACAGATACAAAATTTACCAAGTCAGTATTTTAATAAGCAAACGAATAGCTCACTCTCATGGAGCCCTGGGGCTTTGAACGAAGCACTTTGAGAACTCATTATCTACTGAATAAATTTGGGATACAAAAATACTGTAAAAAGCATCCTAGTTGTTTATACTATTCATGCAATAATAACACCTGAATTGTTGGGTTTCTGAACATACCTTTTATATAGTTCAAAATATAGCAGCATCGTTGATTGATCAAGAAAGACTGATCTCCAGCTTGTTGGAACTTGTACAGTACATAGATCATCACTTGACTCATCATGCGAGGTCCCAATAAAATCAAAAGATAAACATGACAAACCCAGATCCAATAGAATTGATATTAAAGTATTCTGTTAGAGAAAAATAAAATACAAGGTATAAGATGGGAAACTGAAATCATATTTACAAGAAAAAATGTGTTAGTTGTCTTAAGTAGATTTACATTCAAATCTGACTCAAGACTGTAAGCCATTTAAAAACTAACTCCAGTTTCATCTGATGACTCCACAGAGTATATTTACCCTTGCTATTGCTGACCACTGGGGGTTAAAAAATTTATATCTGTAACTCAGCTTCCAAATCCAATTAATTTTATTTGGCGACGAAACACAAGTGTCTTAAATTTCACTAGTTTATTCAAAATTGGGGATTCTCTGAATATTCACAAAATAAAAATAAAATTTTCATTGCTGTAAAACTTGAAAAAGCCACAATTCACCTTCATTGGATCTTCAAATTGGCTGGCATCAGAAGAAGTTGCTTGTTGTAATAAACCACAGTGTAATTGAAATATATTGAACAATGTTGAATCTCGGAAAGTTGCAGCAATTTTTCTGTGCCGTGTAAGTGGTTTGACACTCTCAGATTCATTCATTTCATTTACGAGCATGTTAAGTATTTGAACACCGATAATACATTGACTCATATCTGCCTAAAATAAAAATTGTTTTTCAAGAACGATTGATTTTCAAATAAGATGAAACTGTACTTGGTATGCAATGCATAAATCATAACACAAACAATTTGGTTCGGAATAACCTCCAATAAATACTATTTTAAAGGGCTTTGCAAAATGTATATGATCAGATCTATTGTGAAGGACTGATAGTACCCACTGACCTAGATATTAACATAAAAGTACCTGTAAAAATTTTGTTACATCTTCAATGACTTTCCTGAACAACCAATCACCCTTTGAACCTTCAAACCAAGAAAGTTTTGTGATTCGAACAAACAGCTGAATCATTCCTTGAATAACAAATGGAGCCAATTTTTGTCCAGTGTAAAGATAATTTAATACATAGTTTCCTGGAAAACATGGAAGTAAATGGTTAGTGGCTCACTTGCTTTGTTTAACTTCTTTACCTGACAGACATACAAAAATGTTTCAATGGGGTGAAGCGCAGCTGACCATCTGCAACCCTTTGAAACAGAGGAGCTTATCATCTCAAATCAAACACTTATAGTATAAGTTTATTTCAACTCCTTTGTTGGTGCTCCCGTAGTGTGTGTACCAGGTTAGAGTTAGGCCATAATTTTATTCCGATTTTCCTTATTTTAGTTCTATTACGAGTTCAGCACTGTCTGTGTTAGCCAAGTGAATATACCCCCTGCCCATTAGGCTTGCACGTAATTTACAGATTTACGGAATTACGGAATTATTTCGAGTTACGGAAGGGAAGTTACGAATTACGTAAAGTCGTAATTATTGGTCGAGCGCTTTCGCGATTGAAACGAGCTCTCTTCAAAGCAGTCAATTCCGTCGATTGTAAAAAGTGAAAGTTTAAAAAGAAGTTAAAGCTTCGGTATTTGCAGCCGTTTTTCTCACTTTTCTCTCTCTTGCCAAAACGTCACCGTGATAATTAATGTCGCGCTTATCAAACAGCAATATGACGACGGAAGAGAAATTGCGTAATGAACCAACGCAACTTCGTCTTTTCGGCATCGGTAAAGCGATTGAGACGGCAGAGAAACAACAATATGACGGGATTTCCCGCGATCCGGTAAAAATCCTTTGCGGACCGTTGACGGTCCGCGGAACGGCGGTTGGGAAGCACCGTTTTAGAATACTTAAATCAAATCCAGAATCCTATTCTATTTTTATAGTTACCGTATTTAAATAGTGGGATTTCTCCACCACAATGATTGAAATTAAAAAAAAAAAGCTAAATTGTAGCCTAAATGTTTAATGTATAACTATCTTTATGCAGTATTTAATTGAAAATGTCCTGATCATTGGATTATATTTAACCAAGGCAACGAGATTTAAGAATTTCGACGATCGTTTTTTGTTTTGTTTTTAACAGTTCAATATTCTCAATTTAACTACTATCAAATATCAAGTATGAGCCAGTGTGTTTATTCTGTGCGAGAACCATTTTCAATTACAAAACCTTGATGTTCTGTTACCGGTTTTATCGTTTTATATCAGTCCGGACTTGTCCTTGCTCAATATATTTTCCACAATGCCTCGCAATATTTCGGCCAAATATGATTAACTGTCTTTACCAAATGCGGCAACTTATTTTGATTCTTGAAAACCACCGACACTCGACCAAAATTGTGTCAATCTTGGCCGATAGGATCGTCGACTTGAGTTAGAAAAATAAGTTAATTTTTTCGTGGGTGCAAAATAAATGTCACAATATGCATTTTTTTGCGATATAACTTTGTATTTTCGGAAAAGCCATATCATATAAGTACGGTATTCAAATTATGCGCAAATAATTAATATTTGATCTAAATTTGTTGCAAATAATGTTACAACATTTAGGCCGCGACAGGATTTAATGTAAAATGAAGCATGGTAATCGGAATAACGTCAATAAGTCGGCATCAATAATTATTATAAAATGCTGACTAGGTAGTAAAGTCGAATAATGTTAAAAATGGTGCAATAACAAGTCTTCGTCGCGAGGCAAGAGCAAGTATAATCAAACGAGAGAATACGCTCGTCATGGCATTGATAAATTGGAAACCCGACATTTTTTTGAATACGATTTTAAAAAAGTCAACTATCGTTTCATAAATATCCGTATACCAGTGTCGGTAATGATAAAATTGATCGCATAAAATTGGGACGGTTAATTTGCGAAGGTGATAAAGGAAATCAAAGCTAGCACAAAAGATAACAATCAGAATAAAATTAATTTGAATTCACTCTTGTCTTAACATCTGTCACCGGCGTGTAGTACTGCCAGGAATATGAAAACCCAAACTCGATGTCCCAATCGAAAATGAAGTGGATTCAATTGGTTGTTATGATAGGTTTAAATGTGTGAAAAAATATCGCAATTACGGGGTCATTACGTAATCGATTTGGCCGTAATTACGGAATTGATTTTTGTCAATTACGTGCAAGCCTACTGCCCATAGGCTTCGTCCCTGTACACAACTTGATGTAAAGTAGGCAAACAAAATTAGTTACCTCCATATTGGTACACATACTTCTGGAGCACTCCGTAATCAGTATACCAGACAATAAGAAAGTAATTGATGAAAACAAATAAATTAAACTGATTACAGATCAGGTTCAGTATGCAAAGACACAGTATTGAATTGCAATCTGTCCTTACAGTAGATATTACAGTATTAATCAATTTGAAGTTACATACTTATGTCCAGCTTCTGTTGTAATGTCAAGCTTGATCCAGGTTTGGTCACTATTTTTGTCAATGTTGTTGCAGCCAAATGTTGAGAAAATGGTGACTTTAAAAGAATATATAAAATGACATAAATGATTTTTTTTTCACCATAAACAAAAATATAAATAGTATCATTTATATAAAAATTGAACATTTGAATTTTAAAATAAAAAAGCACATATATTTTCAAGTCATTAATGAAATAAACACTCAAATCGAAAGAGGAATAGTCTTGAAACCAATTTTTCCTTACTTCATTCAGATTTGAAATAAATATCTCAGTCAATATGCAGAAAATTCATTGTATGTTATCAAAAAAAAATGTTTCGAGGACAGAGTATTTCATTCATACTTTTATAGGCAACTTTATATCAACTTTGCTATACCGGACTTTTTTAATGCTAAATCAATGTTCTAAATTTTACATTTTACAAATAGCATATTGTTTAAGAAACTTACAATAGCTCTTTGAAATAACATTTGGCATTTTTCCAAAGCAGTAGGGTCAGATGCGAATTCAACCAAAACTTTTTCAGCATGCTGACGAGTTGCTGGATCAGCTGTCTCGAACATTGCTGCACAAAAGGTTTCGAGTTGAGCGACTTCCTAAAATATTAAATTGGGCATTAAGTGGTCATGGAATATACATTTATGAATCATTTTGCAAGATTGTTGCTGTTGTTATGAAAATGAATCATTATTCTCTGCAACTAATGTACTAATTGATTTCACAGTTTAGTACTTAAAGATGGAAGAAGTGGCTAAAAGCAAAGAAGGCTATGCCATTGTTTCTAAATTTGTTCCAAATTCTGAAATTTCACAGGACTCGATATTTCGCCCAAAATCTTGATATTTTTGTGCATAGTGCGCCACGATATTGCCTTGACATTACTTTAATTTGAATCATATTTCCTCCGAGGTGGGTGCTAAGCGTTAGGAATACGCTCGGCACCGCACCTCTGATTATCCTGCTCGTATTTGCAGGTTCAAATCCCGCCGAGGATAATTATGTGTATGAAGATTTCTGGACTCCTGGCCGCCAAAGGGTGTTTCATGTAACAGCTAGTCGGTTAGCTAGTCAGCTAGACGAGTTTCTCCACCATCAAGTCCATGCAGGATTTACATATTTATTATGGAGAAAAGAAAAGCCGATAAGACGGCTTAATCATATGGCGAACCAGTCCTCTTGCTGTATTGTCACAGTGTCAGGTTACCAGTCCATATAGGGTACCGCATGGGATTAGTTAGTCAGTTATTTGTTTTCTGATGCATGGACTTAATGAAGTGATCAAAATATATAAACTATACTGGAATTTGAAAGTCGAGACTTTGAATAGATACGATCACATAACAGCATAATGGCATACCTGCTCCATCATCTGGTTTCAATTCCTCGTGGTTGAGTAAAATTCTACCTGGCCGTACACATTTACGGGTAACTTATATGGCTTACGCAAAAACCCACAAATTGCAGGTAACCTAATTCAGCGCCTGAACCTGCTGACACAAATTGAATTTGTTGTTGTTGACAAAAAAGTAAGCTATCACCAAATGTTATGCAAAATCACATTTTATAGTAACTGCTTGGTGTTGCTCAAGAGCTGATACTGCCCTCTGAGGATTCCCATATTTGACCACAGAATTTTTTTTCTAATATTCCAATCATCTTTTCATGTAGATCTGAAGACAAACTGACAGTAGGACAATAATGTAGCGAGGTCAAAAAAGGTGGGGAGGATTACTTTTTTTTCGGGATGACATTTACTCACGCCTTTCGCTTCGAATAAGGCCGGGCATAAGCACTGATATCAAAAGGCATCTTTAAAAGAAGTCTTACACAGACGTACTACGCCTTCGAAAGCTATACAAGCTCGATTGGTTTATTTGGAGCAAAAATTGATAGTACGCCAAAAAAGCGTTGGGTTTGAACATGCCACAACGACCAACTATCGACTGGTAACGGAATGATAGGTTCGCCATATGATTAGGCGGTGTTGTCGAATTTTCCTTTCGTAATAAATAATAATATAAAATCCATATCTTTTTATCAAATTGATTATAGATATACCCGGAAGGGTTTAAAACTTAAATATACGCCCCAACCCCCTATACGAAAAGCCATTGAAGTCCACATAAGGCTGAACACTATTTATAATCGGCAATACTTTTTGAGCAATTCAAGATGAGACAACACCTAACAACTAAATTTTAGAACATGGGAAAATGTTTACAATCGGAAGACAACAAATATATTTTGTTCATGGAAATCACGCCGATTGGTTTCCTTACAATGATATGCAAAGTGCACTTGCAACACGCAAAAGTTGAAATAATTGTGCCAAGTAAATATTTGATTAAAAATTTGAAATTGCTGTTCTCAATGGGGGAACCGTGATTATAGATAGAGTCGAATTTCCCAACCAAAGATTTAAAGTTGAACCCTAAGACCACTTCATTCGCCAAATTATAGTCCAGATTACATTAAATATTAATTAGGTGTTGCCGGTAACAGTATAATAAAATATAGTTAATTGGGGTAGTGTGGCCCTGAGGTAGGAATATATTGATTTCCAAGGGTGTGAGCAACGATTTTCCCATTCATAGGCATTGAGTTCAGACAAGGATATAAGAATTACGGTTGTTATTTCACAGGATTACCCGAAATTAACATGGAAAATTCATCAGAGTTTTTGTAAATTTTTTGTTGTAGACTTCATTTGATCATCGTGAAGCGGCCTGAAAAACAAATCTGCGAATAGATGTTTCAAAGATTGCATTGCTTATAAGGAAACATAATAAGATGAACCATTATTTAGGGACTAATAAAGTGGTTCAATTGATTTTAGCAGGTATTTATAATTTAATGCTTATCATTTTATATTGAAAGTTGGAGGGTCCAAGGCGAAATTCTGTTTGGGGTGAAGAAGAAATTATCACACCGTGCGAAAGAACCCAAATTTGATCACATCACGCTATCTATACATTGCCCAACAAGTCAACTCCACACCATTACCTCACCCAAACACAAAATACATGTTTACATTAAAGGATAGAAAACCACATCAATTCAAAATCACCGACAGCAAATTAGAATTTCAAGGGGAGAATCCAATATATCTCAACTGGTCGCCTAGTTACAATAATTAGTAATCTTGCAGTCACTATATATATTATATTGTTCACAACCACCACGCATGCGTGCATGTGTAATAAGGAGATCCCATATAAAGAAAAGAGTGCATTCACATGCAATTGTCAAAATGCGAACAGCTATTCGAGGGAAATACCAAATATGTCAGTTACCATGTGATAAAGCAAACGTAGCATATACATATCTCAAAACGTATTTGTACCAGACCAGCCTCAACACAAAACTAATTCAAATTTGGAGGTAAAAAATAGCTCAACAGCACGTCCGATCACAGTAAATAGTAGTTGTCGGGACCATATACAATGTTATTACAGCTGTTCACCACTCTAATTATTTGGTGAATCTCAGCTGAATTGTTCATAAGAGTTTTTCATCAGCTCGTAGCTGACTTGAAGGATTTTACTATTAATTTATCTACACAACGAACCTATGAAATATATAATTTTTTAATATTCTGGGGTCTTTTCTTTATCCTATAACTTATTTTTTAGAAACGAAATCACAACACTCCGTTACAGAAATTTTTCCCCCAGATATCTTGTTAATTAGCTACTGATATATACTTTAAGAAATTTATATTGTTCCTTTTTAGATTTTGTGGGAAATTTCGATATAAAGGAGCATGAAACTTTTATTAAAACACAATCTAGCACTATTTCTTTAGTGTTTTTGATATCCCAGTCCCAGAAGCATTTTTAATGAAAGAAATTAATACAAAAATACGTTAAATATCATTTTGGCAACAATTAGGCTAGATTATTTCTTTATAAATTTTGTACCAAAACGGGGACAGCCATTTTCATCGCATATTGCCATTTTACCGAAATGTGGATATCGAGTTCTGTATACTGAACCCCATGACTTCTCCATCAATTTTCGCTGGTACCCAAAATCATTAGCTCACCAGGTGTTTTGTGGGGTTTCCACACATATTTGATGACACAGAGAGAAATCTGAAGAACTACCCATGTCTGTAAATATCGCAAACACAAATGTCAAAGTACTTTACTTCGCAGATGAGCAATAAAGAACAATTTATAAATGTATGGAAAAGGAAAAGAGTCAGAACGAAACAATATGTATAATAGTTTGGCTAGAAAGCTCTAACCATATGCAAACAAATAGCACCTGGGAATGGCGCACAACCAGAGCAAAAAGTGAGATACATAACAAAATCCTATCCTAATTAATCTTTAGTTTAATATTAAAATAGACAATAATATTGTGCAACCAAATTGTGTTCTGTTTGCAACTTGGGTTACTTCAATCTTAAAATGATAGGTCATTTTCTCTTGAAGATATTTCATATCAACACCAGAGCTAACATATTTTAATTAAGAGTGTCTTCTATTCTTTGCTTTAAACAATGCATATTTAGCTATTCTAATATTTAGCAGTTGAGGCGATATGCAGGACGGCATGAAATTCCCGTCCAACTTCAAATATTTTACTCTTGAATGTTGATTAGGTAACTGCAATTTCTACCTTAAGATAGGGATGGAAGAAACAACAATTTACACAAATTGTTCATTTACAACAAAGTGTTGTGTAATGCAGTGAAAAGAGCACATAAAAATACAAAGAACCACTATTTACATAATATCAATAGAAAAAATTTCATTTATATATAGCACTTACATAGGAACATAATTCTTGAAAGCATGTATATAAAAGCACCAAAAAACAAAACCACAAACATGGTGAACACCACAAACATTGATTTAACCAATATAAATACAGGTTAAGTATATTCATTTTATAGCGTAATATCTGTTTGAACAACTCCCGTCAGGAGTGCAAATTCCCTTACATAAGTTTAATTTAAAATAACCCTCTTTGGAAAACCAGGTCCAGCAGCATGCCATAGAATAAAACATTCAATTTAATCTACTATTTAAACTGCAATTCTTGGCAACATTCTCTGAAGAAAAAATATCACCCAAATGTCCAAAAAGCAAAATTTGATAGGCCAACATAAATTTTAGGGCATAACTGCAATTCTTGGCAACATTCTCTGAAGAAAAAATAACACCCAAATGTCCAATAAGCAAAATTTGACAGGCCAAGAAGAACAAATCAGTACAAATCAGTAATCGTCTTTTGTAAAGAGGATTTTCCATGCTGGGAACCAAGTAGGATCCATAAAACAATTAGTTCATATGCAACTTCTAACAAACAAGTGTGCACATATACATCTAAAAAATTGTTCCAACGATGAAAAACTATCTCAAGATCAGTCAGCCAATTACTAACAGATACAGCCTTTACATAATAGAGAGTAGTGTTGAAAAAATAAGATACTCATTTCAATTGAAAAAGCAGAGTCGTTTCTACATAACATTTGATTTATTTTTTTCAAAAAGCGCATTTTTTTCAGTCAGTAGTTCACCACATTATCTTCTTCCTGTTTGTATTATCCGAATGGTGTTTTACATGGTGTTAACAACCCAAGAAATAATAAACCTTTATTATCACTTTTAAATAGTACTAATATTTGCTTCGTAAAAAAAATAAATATAAGGCACAGAATAAAACCTGAGGGCACCTTGGTCACTGAATAAAAAAATAGCTACCTTGTTTATCCATCATAATGCTGGATGGCACTGCAACTGCAAAAGTAACACATTTGTACTAAGTATTCATAACATAAAGCACCCAGGCTGTTGAATACTTCAAATGGAAAGTAAGATATCTAAAATCAGGTGAGATGGCACAATCTATAACACTACATCTGCAGGTAGAAGCAATGAACCGTGGTAAAACAAGTGCAACCATAATCTGAACACAAAAAAGTAACACCGAAGGCAAAGCAACAGTCATCACTGCGTCTCTGCAAATACCACGAAAATAAAATATAGAATGTAAAAACTTGATATACAAAGCAAATATAAAATAAACGTTAAAATGCAATTATTTGAAACCATTATTAAGAATTAAACATTCAACATTTACAAATACTACTCAGAACCCAGTTAGCAATCCTAGTGATAAAAAATAAGTTGGCGCTGTGGGTCAATTCTGGTAAAAAAGCTAAGCTTCATATCATGCCCAATCCTTATGTACCGTTCATATATTTCCAAACCTTTTTCCAATCAATTCTACAAATGAATTATTGCTCCTTTGAAGTCATCATTTTGGTACCATAACATTAACCATACCAAGTCAATCTGTGAAAACCAAAAAAGGATGCCTGAAAAACATCTCCTATAACTGTAGATAAATCTCCTGGACAGCTGTGTGTCGGAAGCCTTGTTTGCAAGCAACAAGAGATTTCAGTTCTTAAAAACACCTTGACTAACTGCATGACAAACCCAATCAACTCTTGTAGTCCAACGTCCACTATGAGCAGTACTCATGCAATCTCTGAAATGTCTGAAAAAAAAATATGAGAATGGAAAAATTACCCAGCAATCACCATAAAATATACGTGCGGGATGTTTTACTTTGGAACAGAACAATTAGAAACTATTCAAGTTCTGTAAAAAATTATCAGTCCAATTTCATTTCCAACGAAAACATCACAACTGCAAATAAAAATACAAGAGAGAAATCTGGAATAGGGAAAAAGTCGCAGAAAAGTTTAGGATAAACCGAACACACACCTCTGGCCAATCGCGAAAAAAGACATAATAGAGTTACAAAGTGATAACTATGATAACCAGAATTTGAAGAGAAGATTCTAAAACTGAGTGTGTTGAAAGTCAAGTATGATAAATCAGCTTTCTATGTTAAGAGTTTAATTGGAATTGCTATCTGTGACATGATTTGTTGCAATGACAAAAAATTTTGTGTTACTTTTTTAACACTCTGTATATAGGTACCGGTAGTTAGTGTGCTGTTGTATATCCTACTAATTATGAAAATACATATTGGTAGTTATGTTATGCAATTGCGATCATATCCGGGTATTTTAATCATATTTTTAATCTCATTTATGGAAGCTCATACTTGGATGCTATTTTATTATTGCAGTTATACCTGAAAATTATTTTGGAAAATTGCTATTCCAACAACACCATATTTGGCAACATAGTTATCTCTTTCAGCTCATTGTTTTTCGCAATTGTCATCCAACATATTTATTTGGTCATGATGTGTTAATAGAAGAACTATTATCCTATTACCACATGAAAAAATTCTAGTAACATATTATATAATACTGGATATTTTAAAATGATTGAATCCACTAACCTCAATGCATCCGATTCAGAGGTTTGAACTGCCAAAGAACTCCTGACATATTCTAAGTCTTCGAGTGAAGAAAGCTCTGGAATTTCAGCTCCATCATCATAGATAGGAGGTTGAGGACTAGTTGTGATCTATGTCGAATAGATAAATATGCTCTGCAACACAAGTCCTGAAAATCTGCATATTCTTCTGTTTTTGTGATATCATTAGCACCTTTACAGATTACTTTCAAAAAGTCATCTGTCAAAACAAACGGGACTCTCTCGCGTTTAATTCCATATTTTTTCTTTTTGTGGTTAAGAAAATGTCCAAAATCAATGTGAAAAAGTTGTCCGTTTTTCTTGACCATAATGTTATCATTATGTCGATCTCCTATACCAAGTATAAAAGTTGCAACACAGTATCCAGCAAACGAATATGTAAAATTTTTCACAGCTTTTTCATACTGAAGATCACCAACGTTATTGTCTTTTAACCACTGATGTAGCATTCCAGACTTCAGTTGCAAAGAACCTACTACACCTCCCTTTTTCTGAATGCTCATAACTGTTTCAGAATCAGGTATAATTTCAATCACCTACTTCAAATCCCATCGATATACATTTATATGGGGTGATGCACATATCGAGGCCGTCTTGCTGCCATATATCATCCATCACTTTGAGGATTTGTAACGTTAACATGTCTTGCCGTAGGTCATCGCCATTTTTAAACAAAATTCCCCACATTGGTTGGAAAAAAGTTGCAAGTGAATCTTCATTATACCATTTCAAAATGAATGGTCTTTTAGCAGAAGTTTTCACTTCTGATTGTTCTGTTACTAATGCACCTAATTGCTGGGAAGGATTTAATGGGTTGGTGTTGTGTTGGAATATTTCACGAAAATCTGTTTTATTCAGATGATCTCTGAAAACTTTACATGAAACCGTGTCTTCATTCTTCATGATGGTGTTTAAATTAATAAGCTTTTCAAGCATCTCGGTCTGTCTCATAATCTCAGTAAGATATGACCCACATGCTCTGCAAAATGTCTCTAAAATTAAACCAAATTTTAATGCTATTTTGCTGTTGTGCATTTCTGCTTTTAGGTGCCAAAACAGGTAATGTCCAACATGTAAATTCAATATGGCTTTTGAGAGTAAAAATTTAACCAAAGCATTGTTGAGGTAAGGTTCAAATTTCAGGGCTGTGACTAACTGTAACAAATATTTCAGCAAATCATCATTGCTCAAAGTTTGCTGGAGGCATTTGGTTGAAAATGTTCGTACATTCGGATCAGGATATTTACTATCAAGCAACTCTAGTGCAATCTCTGGAGGCAGTAGTTGCCAATGCTTGAGCAACATATATATTTGTGAAACCTCATTCCTATTCTCCCATTTGACAGATTGTAAAAGTTTGGGTAAAGATTCTGGTATTTGCATACATGCTTTACGATTGTTCCACATCAAGTCTTTCTCATTATCAGACAGTTCATACAAAGGATCACGACTAACGATATCTTTGATTTGAAGCACTGATTCTTCATCTACATGAGAGTTAATATCCATCATATCAAATTTAAAATAATCTGAACCTTCAGCCCCATCACCAGAAGATCTCAGACAATTGTCAACAATCTGTGATTCAAGTGGAAATCGAACTTCCGGTCCAAGGTCACAAAACTCCAATTCTAAACTTGGAGAATCTTTGCATGGATTTGGTCCTGATACTCCAAGTGGATTGAGTAAGTCTTCAGTCAAATGAGAAGTAGACCACAGATGTACCGTATGTCTGCCTTGCAAGTGACATCCTCTATAATCATATATGGGAATGTTCGCCCAAGCCAGTGGCCAACATTCATCTCTCTTGCGCTTTAGAACACAAATAGCCATGCACAGTTTGGTACTTCGAGGCATATCTCGTAAAGATATATCGCATTCAAGAGTTTCATTCCATTTTGGTGGGCACGCCATTGCCTGCGTTTTCTGAGAATGACAAAGCGGTGTATTGCCATGATATAAGTTTAAAAACACGAAAGTACGATCTTGTTCTTTCGTGTTCACATAAGCGGCAGACAAAACACGTATTCGAAATGACGTATCACTGCAAATAAATTTTGATGAATCATTAGGAGTTGTAATTTTACACTTCGCTATTTGTGGTTGTAAATAAAAAAGTCCAGGGTCAATGTCTCTAACAATGTCCTTTGTAAGTCGAACAGTCAAATCAGGATACTCGGATCTATTCACACACTGGCGAATATATTTGTATTGACATATTGGATAGCTACCAATAATGAACTCATTCACACCACATACTTTTAACACATAAATGCTTTCAAGCTCTTTAGTGGACAAGGACCGGGTTTCAGGAGGATAGGTATCTTTACAATTACGGACACTTTTCTTTACAACTTCCATAAGAACATCAGCTGGTGTGGCATTGTACGGAACCCTGACTGAATATTTAACTTGCCTTTCATCATCTTTGTCCCATATTCGTATAACCACCAATTTCTGTCTCAAAAGTTTATTTTTGGTGTGTAGAGGCAAGGTAGGCGAAGACTCAACAGCAGGAGGATATCTGTATTTGATCAGAGCACAATCATCTGAACTGTCTCTTCTATTTTCAATTACATTCTTACAATGCACTGACATGTCTCTGCGAAAGTCATCAACTTCTTGACATTTGATACGATCAAATTCATCTGTAGACATACCAATCGCTTGTCGTATCTCATGTTTCAATATCTTTTCTTTGACGTTACCTTCTGCTTCAACGAGGCGTAAAATAGGTTGGAATAGATGAAGATCACACAAACGTCTTTTTTCGTTATAGAACTCTTCACATTCTGCATCTTGTGTGATTCCGACAAAAATATAAGAAGCAGGTTCCATTAAAGATTCATACAAAGGATATTGTCGTGCCTGTGCCCAGACATCATCTTTTAGATCCAGTAATGTTGACTCCCTTGCAGCCTCCAGAGTTAGGTAGATCCCATTTGGTAAAAGCATATCCATTACAATTTTACTTGGCATCAAGGGTAAGCCCCACAACTCCCCTGAAGCAGATGAATATCCACTTGATGGAGCCATGTTCTGGGGTGTTTGGGGAATATTGACTATTACTAAATTAACTTTAAAATCAAGAATAATCAAGCTGATAAGATTAGAACTCAAAATATATACCGTATGTCAAATTGTTTAGGAAATGACTGAGTCAAGAAAGGTATGCTATTTTGCACAGTAATTGGTCTTATTGGCGGGCATAAAATTGTTCCAAATGGAGCTATAAATTAAAACTTTTTTCTAAAAGTATGAAATGAAACATAGACATATGTTAATATACGGTAAGTAAAAATTCATAAAAACAGTAGAAATTATTCATCAATTTGTAAGAATAAATGAAGTAAAAGACATTCTGGTGAACAAAAATATGATAAAAAATAAAAATTTTTTATTGACATTGAATGCCTTAATTTACAGGGTGAAGCTTTATTTACCACAGCATAACATGACCAAAAAATAGGTTTTGAACAATAATAACAATGGCCGAGGGGTGACTCAAGACGATCAAAAATATCCCCTGAGAGATCATTTTCTGAAATAAAAAGATGTTGCCTCTCTGAGAAAAAATTGACAATACGGCTTGTTATTTCCATAAGTGACGGCACAATTTTTATTGAAGCATATGATTTAACATGGGATGGAAGACTAATGGTATATGAATCCCTCGAAGTTATCTGAGCAAGAGTGACATCATGAAAATCATGCTCACGGCCAATCTCAACTTGAGCACATCCATCAAAATGACAATATTTAGATAAAAAGTATGAGGGACAGAAGTGCAGCAAAGGATTATTTTCCATTTCTATAATACTCAGAGTGGAATGTTTTCCAAGATCCATAGGGAGGTTTGATATACAATTAGAGGTGATCGATAATTGCTCAAGATGAGTAAGAAAACATACTTGTCGAGGCAATGAATATAAACGATTATTACTTAATAATAACTGATAAATATCTTTGCAATTACCAATTGAGCATGGAACAGAACGCAACTCATTATGAGAAGCATCTAAAACTTCCAAAGATGAAGCATTTCCAATGTTGTAAGGCAAAGATTTGAGTATGTTATGCCTTACCCTTAATTGTTTAAGATTTCCCAATGTGGTTATGGAGTCTGGAAGGTATTCAAGTTCATTGTCACAAACATCTAAATTTCTCAAGTTTATCAAGTCACCAATGCTTTGTGGCAAACTACAAAGTTGATTCGATGTTAAATATATTTCAGTTATTTCAGGATATTGCAAGGAAATGTCCACAGGTAGCTCTTTTATTCTATTTCGTTTAACATAAAACATTTTTGCAAGCAACCGATGCTTGCTACAAAGTCTGTTTGTTGGTAAATTCTCCAGATTTCCATAATTTAATAAAACAATTCCATTTTCAGTAACAGCACGTAACCATGAAGGATGGCAACAACAATTATCATTCATTTGAATCCAATAATTAACTTCAATTATTAAAAAGAAACTATGTACAGATTTACCTAGTATCAAATGGAAAAATAAAACAATAATTAGAAGAAATAAGAATACCAAATGAACACTTCAAAGTTTTTTTGCTACAAAATTTTATCTACATATAGTCTAGCCGTAAAGACAGAAAAAAGATTTATAAAACTAAACTTCAATCCAGTTAAAACCAAAACTACCGAATATCAACATTTTTTTCATACGTGTGGCTTGACTCTCATATTTTTCCATAATAAATTTAATCTGAAACTGTCAGAAATAAAATAATGTATCATAGACAAGTAAGCTAAGTAATTGTAATGTACTGAAACTTATGTCCTAATCCAGTACCGGTAATCAGACAGTTAGAAATGATATGCGATGTTACAGTACCGGTACCCAGCCTCCTGGTCTCTAAATCTATTTCGAACTTGACCGCTGAACTGCGATGCAAAAAAACTGACAGCACACAACACTGCAACAGCACAAGGCAAGCATGCTGACATTAATATACAGTAAATAATGAAATACAGTATGTGGAACAACTGTTTAATGGGCAAAACAGAAATATAGAAAACAACTGAGTTATCTTTCTATCAAAAAACCTAAAACATAACTCGTAGAGCTCGGCCTGGACCCACAACTAAGGGCAGGGAAGGCGAACCGCACTGACTCGTTGGTAAAACTGTGGTATGCTGGTATGGCAGCAAACCCGATCTCGCATTTTTTCTCGACAATCGTCGAGTGGCAATGCTGCAATGTGTACTCGTTCATCTGCGGTGTGCGCATCCTGCTGAGCGTAAAACGCGCTTGCCACAGCACCTCTGATTTAGTTAACAGGCTGATTGAACAATTAGTTCATATTAAGCTGAAACATGTATAAGAGTGTGATATGAGAAGGGGTTATTGGATTGTATGGGTTATCAAGAATAGAAGTCAGGTACTTTCAGAGGTGACTCCAGTTATAATCAGCTTGGCGAAATACCTTATTTGTCTTCATATCAAATACTGTTCACTCTTGTTTGGGAAATTTTATATATAATTATGAAAACGGTGTGGCAAACAATTCTTATCTTTTATTGCAGTTCCTATTTTTTTATTCTAATTTCTTTTTTTTCGTATTTATTATTTTTATTCTGTTTGAAAATATAATTTATCTAAATTCCATCACCATACTAATTGCGAATAGCTTGATGAAACAGCAATCCCCGCGTACAGATTCAGATATTTATTTTTATCGTGCAGAAATCAACGTAAAACAATAAACACACATAAAATGACAAAAAAAAACGGAAAACATTGAATCTAGCCATTGATGAGGGGTCGCGAAAAACTCGGCGAGGAAACAATATATTAGCTTAACTTGCACAATCATCAGAAGTTCAACAGATTAGTGAGAAAACCATTGTAATATATTTCGTATAGATGGCTCATTAGCGACATTTAGTGAACAGGATATGACTCGATGAGTGCAAGCACAGCAAAATTTTGCTGACTAATATGCCTAGCATAAGAAATGACCCTGCCAACCAGCAACGAGGGTCGTTATGAAAGCGGTCGACAGACAATTAACTTATTGGCTCTATAAAATACCTGGGATAAAAACATATTTGCATCTAGCTAATGTCACATGATAAGTGGTCAGAAATAGACAATGCCAAGCATGAAACAGATAACAGCAAAGTAAATGATGCACAACTTTTCTGAATGAGGCTGCAGTCATATAATAGAAGAACACAAACGGATGAAGTGTATGGGAAATGAAATTTTAGTCACGTCACCTGAAAGTCTCTTTGGATTACTGGTAAGAATCAAGAAATAGAGTGTAAAATAAAGGCATGCTTGGCGCGGCGGTGTGGCTCAACGGGCTAAGCGTTAGGAATACGCTCGCCACCGCACCTCTAATTACTCTGCGTGGGTTCGCAGGTTCGAATCTCATGCAGGGATGATTATGTGCGAGAGGATTGCTGGACTCCTCGCCGTCGTTGGGTGTTTCACGTAACCGCTGGTCGGTTACGGCTTCCTCCACCACCAAGTCCATGCTTCCGAAAACAAAACAATATAACTAATCCCATACCCGACTCGGAATGGTAACCGGACGAGAGGCCGTGGTTCGCCATATGGATAAGCCGTCTTGTCGGCTTTCCTCTCCCCCGGGATAAATATGTAAATCCTATCCTAAATTATAACTCATTGTTCGAGTACTATCAGGAAGCGAATTCCGTGGACCTTTCCCCGACCTTTGAACCCCGAAAATTTTTTCCTATACTTTATCATTGCAAAATTTTCGGGGCTATTTTAAGAGTGCTTTTGCGAGTTGGCGCCTGTAAAATGGAGTATGTGTTTAAATCATCATTATGATTCATCGCATACAACAATCTGTTTTTTAAAAGTACCGGTGAAGAATTTTAGCCTAGTCTATCACAGCTATTTCTACACTAATTTTTTATTACTGTAAATAAATTAAAACTCCTAGTAAGACGAAGTAATCATTGAATTATCTGATTTATATTTAAGTTTCCAAAACACGACTTGAAACTAACGAATAGAGTTCAAAAACGCGAAAACGAAGTAATGTTTACGACCACGCTTGAAAATCTGTCTGAGTGAGAAAAGTGTCTGAGCGGATGCGAAAAGGGAGCATTGTTACGTCACTTTTTGCATCTTGCTGATTGGCCAATGTCACGGAGTAAACAAGGCAGTCGATGCTCGGGGAAAGGTCCTGTTTGACACCAACAAATTTGATTGAGTTTTGAGTAAGTTTGTGAGAAATAGAGTAACATAATAAGAGCATCTGGCAGAGGACCGTGTACCATATGAGCGAACATCACTCTGCTTCGTGAAATAGTTGGTGAATGCTTGGGGGAATTTTTTGTTGTGGTGTTGATGCATTGATTCCAACACTTCGACTTTATAAACATCTGCCATTTTAATTATATGAAGGCTATGGAAAATAGGACTAAGATGAGTGCGGTAACCAACATTTGAAATAGCGCGGAATTTTCGATTCTGTAAAATTTCGGCGCGATGCAATAAAGTCTTATCCGATAAACCCATGCCACTATGCCATATTCAATATGGGTTTGAAATAAAGAGTAGTAGTAGATCATGCGTAAAGTGGTAAGGGAAGTAAATTGTCGAAGCTTATATAGTATTCCAACTGACTTGGATAATTTAACATATATATTGGCTATTTAAATATCCCACTTCATTTTGTTATCTATATAAATACCAAGATATTTATAGGAGTTGACATTTTCAAGTATCGTACCATCAATCATGATTGAAAGATCATTTTGAGAGTTGCTTCCATTTGGAGATAATAGCATTGTTTTTGATTTATGAATGTTTATTGTTGGCTCTCATTCAATGTGCTACTGTCAATTGGATTAGTGTAATCGGAACTCCATGTGTCACTGCTAAAGGAAGTGAAGAATATGTTCCCACTTGAACATACTGTGATCTACCGCTCAAATAACTAGAGATGAGATTATATGCTATACCCCTAATACCGTAATGCCTCAACTTGCAAACTGGGATGACTCGATTTACGGTGCCGAAGGTCTTTTTAGATCCAGAAAGTTGCACCATCGAACGCTTTTCTTTTTAGTTTATTGTAAACATATGATATTGTATCCCAAATGAATGGCATGCGATGTGGAATGATGTTCTGAAAACCGAATTGAGATTTATCTATTACACTGGGCGTGACGGTCGATAAAGCAAACGAGTGACTGTACGAATTCATCAGAAAAAACATCAAAATTTTGGGCATTCAGTTACAATCTGGCAAACTGGTTTTAATAGTGCACTATGCATCAACACGAAATGAGTCAATCGATAAAGATGACATATCCCTTAACATTATGCAGTCATTTGAGCAAGTTGGTTTTATGCCACTAACACAGCACATGATTGGGAAGTGGTCAAATATATCTGACAGTATAACATAAGAATTGATTTGTGAATTTGCCATGTTTGTGTATAGACATAATTTTCAATCTGGATATTAATTGATGTTAAAAGTAAATTGATATTCCTGATGACAAAAATTGTTTATTTGCCAATATAGCCAAAGAAGATTTAGATATGTCAGTAAAGTATGGGATATCATTACGGGGGTGTTTACAGGTAATGCCGATGACTAATCTTCTGACAGTGTGGGCCAAACTGATCCCCAACCATATATTTTCACAATTAGGATAATTATAATTCGATTTTAGTGAAAGCGAGGCCACCATTCCTAACTAGAGAGCAATGCCCAAATATATGGACACGTTAATCAGAGAGAAGCAGTTCTTACATTTGACGCTACCGGTACCTACCGCGCTGTTCGCCATTCCCCGTTAGGAAAACAAGAATTTCGTTACCCACCACCGACGTTCGATGAGCACGCGATCAAAAGAACAAGAAAAAGAGTGTCAGCATAAATGCGACTTTTTAGGTTTTCCACCAGGCGTCCAAAAAAAGTAAAACGATCCATAGGTCCACTCCGTGTTCAATAATAAAAAATAAAAGTAATAGCCTTTTGGAAAAAAAAATCATTCTTTCACCACTGAAAATTTCAAAGCAATTGGTCCAGTATTCGAAGAGAAAAGCGATTTTATCATGACGAGGAAGAAAAACAACACAATAGGTCTAATATTGAAACGATCGATATGTCCACTGACGTGTTCAATAAAGAAACCAACACCACCTTCTTTAGTGAGAGCTGGCATATGAATAAAAAACTATATCCATCAATTGCAATATTAGAAACATAATTATGATGAGATAACTTTGTTTCGGTTATTGCAATTATATTAGGAAGGATGTAAAACTAGATAAAAGTGTTGTCAAATGAACAATTTTTTTTAAGCGGAACGCATATTTGGGTGAAAAATGAATAAATCAGATATGAATTCAAATCTGGAACTTCTATATTAATGCACGCAGCAGTGTCAGTGGAAGTTACTATTTTATGATCACTACCCTTGGTTATGGTTGAAATTGAAAAATATTAGCAAGAGGGTATGCACGAAATATGCGGTTATATAACCTATAAATATACGAATACAGATTAGAACAATACATATTATTAGTAAGATCTTACAGTAGGGCTGGGCATTTCGAATTGAATCGAATAGTAAATTATTCGAATCGGTTCAGAGCTAAATTTCGAATCGCCGCCATCTTGTTTTTATCTTTCCGCTAATGGTCGAGGTGAATTCCCCAATTTTTTTTTTCATTGGAGTCATATTTTTTTCAACGAAATTCTAACATATGACTATTTTCTGTAGTGAGTTATTGAAAAAAACGTGTTTCTTATTGTGTGTGAACGCTCAGTAATCTATCTGGGTAATTTATTCTATGTCTTCAGTAATTCATATTTTTGAGAGGACCAATTACTAAAATAAAGTCGCTTACAATTATATATTTTCAAGTATTCGATTCGAAAAAAATTATTCGATTCGATTCTGAAATCACAAGGTATTCGAAAATGCCCAGCCCTACCTTACAGTGTAGAAAAATGAAGTGTACAATTGAGTGACCTACTTGAATAGTGGAAGGTCATCTTCAGTTATAATAGGAATGGTACTTGTCATGGCGTACTTTTTCATTAGTACTTTTCCATTGTGAGTCCACAAATATTTGTAACCACAATTGTTCTTAAGGTTTAGCTTTAAAAAATAGATCCTTGTTGGTAGACTATTTAGCAGGTTTTCAACCACACGTTTACGACGATTTTTTAATATTTGGAATCTGGTTGATCTGTTGGTGAATTTTACTACAATTGGTGAAGGTTTTAACTTGTTGTTCTTTGACATACAGTGGCATTTAGAGACGTCATATGATTGAAACGGTACGTTGATCATTGATGCTACCTCTGTTATAATATTTTCACAGTGTTCGCCTGGTGAGTACGGGATGTTATAAAATTCCAAGTTATCAAGCTTAGATCTACGTTCTTGATCTTGTAGTCGTTCTGTAAAAATATCCAATTCTTCTTTTAACTCATTGACTATCTGTTCAAGTTCCCGAACTTTTTTGTTGCTATTAGCAGTAATTTTGTTTAGTTCTTTGTAATTGGCATCCAGTTCGTCAATTTTTTTTCGAAATAAAATCTTAGCTTTTTTAATCTCTCCTGCTTCATTTTTGATCACACCGATTGAAGATAATTGAGTTTTTACTTCCTTCAATGATTCGTCCACAGATGATAATTATTTATAGATGCCAATGCTGGTAGGAATAGTTGAGGAGATATCAAGAGCTCGATTATTATTTCGACTCTTAGGAGTTTTCAGAACTGTGCTGTCAAGTCGGAGATGGTGCTCTCCGTTGGTTTGGCTACTATGGAAAAACTACTATATACTGCAAAACTTATTTAACAGCGAATAAGGATTCATCCCTCGGTGCCGGGTGTGAGCATCGTGCTAAACGTTAGGAATATGCTCGCCACCGCACCTCTGCCTACCTTTACGTGCTGGGGTTCGCACCCCGCCGTGAGATGGAGCACGTAACTGACTAACCAATACCATACCAGACATGAACTGGTAACCAGACGGGCGCCCGGGGTTTGTCATACGATTAAGTAGTCTTTTCTCTTTTTTTTGGGGATAAATATATAAATCCTATTCTAGTTGCGTCTACTGATGGAACCAGTAGTTAGTGTGGTTCTGAAGGTTACAAAAAATAAATCAGACGTAATATCCTTTGTCAGCGATAATGCAACACCAGACCTTGTTGATATATGTGTAGCCTATGTTTTGAAAGTAGCAAATCATTGTTTCATGGTAAATAAATTCCAATTTGGTTTATTGTTTTTTCACTGTTTGGAAGAATTTTCATTATCTCTTCGTAAAGCTTTCCACATATACCTAAAATATCAGTATTTTGTTCTAACAAATTTCGTTTCACACGTGGAAAAATTTTGTCATTGAATTTAACCGATTTTGGCAAGCGAACCGAAAATTGCATACCGATACTCGACAATTTCAGGTGCAAATATTGGTATACTAACTTACACTCAAACAATTCTGTATGAGATCCAAGGGCCGATGATATCGATATATTTTAGTCGATATCGAGAAAATGGCTAAATGTAGACCGATATGTTTAGCTTTTTAATCTGACACGGAATTTTTTAAAAAATAATTTAGAATATGGAGGTTGAACTTATATTTTGTTTGGAGGGATCGTGTTAGCGGTATTGGTCTCGTTGACACTGGAGTAGGATTCTAATCTGTTTTAGCCATTTATCAGCCAAACTAGCTCAAATAATTTGGCTATTTTCGCTTTCAAATCAATTATTATATTGCCATTTTTATCTTATATGGTTATTACGAAGAAATATATCAATCGATTATTAGCAGATTTTTCAATGTGTAGGTTATAGAGGGGAGTTTTCAAATTTAGGGGATGGCAGATATTTTTTTATTAGTGATAAAACTATCTGCAAATTATAAAAATGTGGTATGTATTTGACCGATCATCTTCACCCGCATATTAGCCAGTTCCCTGGATATTCAAACACATTGACGTCAAGAATTAAAAGATGGTATGAATGAACAAACATACATGACACCTGAAAATTAGAGCGGGTGGGGGGTCGATGTAAGGAAAACCCTGGTCGTTGCACAACGCATCTGAATCAATTCAGGTCCTCCAGAAGTATGCGCACAACCTGAATCCTAACCGGTACACACATACTATGTTCAGGTTGTGAGCCATCTTGGTGCTAAATCTGAAATAATGTTAACGGCGAATAACGCTCAGTTTTCTCGAATCTGGGCTATCGAAATGTCCGTAGAAGACCGAGCTTATAAATGTAGACAGTGCCGTCACTGCATTATGCCGCTATGAGTAATTGGATCTGGTGTATCTGAATATTGGTTTCCGACTCAAAACCAAAATAAGATGAGTTGGTCGTAGAACTCGGAATTCAATCTACCATGGATCGAACACAATGACACACACTTAATATTGTGCATTGTTGCCTGAAGAACACATGGTACGGTATGTTAGTTTGTTGAAATCTACAAGCAAATTCACGTGCACCCAACGAAGACAGCCAATTGTATCATGTCGTAATCATACCAACCACCGCGGATCACTATGCAAAGTATAACTCTTGTAAAGGGCCGGAGGATAACGTTCTCAGGGTCCGAGGAATACACAATCGTAGTTACATATAGCATTTTCTTTACTGCTGGCATTTGAAAACATGCACACGTTTAGTACACCATGTTACTTGCCAGGATCATAATTTTGGGCGCACCTGCCAAACCCCTTCCCAGTTTTAAAAGTTCACAAATTCTTTTTCCTTACGATTTCAACGTATTTGGGTAGATTTCAAATTCAATCAATTCACTCTTTATCAATGACCATCCTTGTTCCTCTGACAGCAATAAGACCAACCTTCGCACCAGGTGAAGCATCACGACGCACAATTGATGGGGAACCAATATGTTGATGGTTACCACCACCGTGAGGATGCTCAACAGGCTGTAAGTAGATTAAGTAGCAGTTAATAAAATGTTTTAACTAATTTGGACTCAGTGACGAAACTTGTTCTCATCCATGAATCATAAACAGCCTCTTAAATCGTCAAAATGATTAAGTTGATAGAAATAATCCTTTTCATGGATAAGAAGGGCGCCTGAAAAGTTATTTAGAGCACAAAAATGCAGATTTTTTTATGATCATCATTAGCAAACAATTCACATAAGAATGTATGATGTATCCATACTTACGAGAACATGGTCGTCAGATGGAATGAGTTTTCTCGAATCTGGGCTATCAAAATGTCCATAGAAGACTGAGCTTATGTAGACAGCGCCGTCATCGCATTCTGCCGCTATGAGTAATTTCAATTAATTGGATTCGATGTATCTGAATATTGGTTTCCGACTCAAAACCAAAATGAGTCTGTCTAGAATTCAATCTACCATGGATCGAACACAATGACACACACTTGATATTGTGCATGTTGCCTGAAGAACACATGGTTCGGTATGTTAATTTGTTTAAATCTACACGCAATTTCATGCGCACCAAACGAAGACAGTCAATTGTATCATGTCATAATCACAACAAACACCGCGGATTAAACTCTGTAAAAGGCCGGAGGATAACGTTCTCAGGGTCAGAGGAATACACTAACAATCGTAGTTACGTATAGCATTTTCCTCACTGCTGGCATTTGAAAACATGTACGCGGTTAGTACCCCGATGTTGCTTGCCAGGATCATAATTATGAGCACACCTGCCAAACCATTAAAACCCCAGCCCAGTATTAAAAAGTTCACGTTTTTCCCTTCAATTTCGATGTATTTGGGTAGATTTCAAATTCAATAAATTCACTCTTTATCAATGACCGTCCTTGTTCCTCTGACTCTACCAGTACGTCTGGCAGCAATAAGACCAACCTTCGCACCAGGTGAAGCATCACGACGCACAGTTGATGGGGAACCAATATGTTGATGTTACCACCACCGTGAGGATGCTCAACAGGCTGTAAGTAGATTAAGTAGCAGTTAATAAAATGTTTTAACTAATTTGGACTCTAGTGATGAAACTTGTTCTCATCCATGAATCATAAACAGCCTCTTAAATCGTCAAAATGATTAAGTTGATAGAAATAATCCTTTTCATGGACGAGGATGCCTGGGAAGTTATTTAGAGCACAAAAATGCAGATTTTTTTATGATCATTATAAGCAAACTATTCATATAAAACGGTATGGCAGATTGCCGATTATTTTTCTTAAACATCACCTTTCATAAATATCAGTTTTAAAAACTATTCTGAACAAAAAATGTGGACATTTAAATTTCAAGCCAAAACAAATCCTGCAGTCTGTCACACCCTGCTAATGAATAAAGTATCAAAAGAAACGGGAGTAAAAATAACATACATTCATAGCAAACACACGAACTTTGGGCCAGCAGTTACGCTTAGCCCTGTATTTGTGATAAGCCTGTTCCTGCCTTCAACATTGGTTTGTCGATACGGCCACCACCTGCGACGACGCCTGCAAAATTAAATGGATTCTGTTGCAATATTATATCGACAAGAGTTATTTGCTTTTGATATCACTATTATTTTTTAACATACGAGATTTGATTCAAATCAGGGATGGCCAAAACCGATAGTTCATTATTCGAATACATTCAAAATTATTTTTTTCGAATATGAAATTTCGAATACTTCGAAAATAAAAATCCATTAATTGAAGCTTATCTAAGTGTATGTAGGAATTTCCATACAATAAGCAATGGGAATAACTGCTATCTACAAGTTACAACCTAGCTATATTACCAGGCATTTCATATTTGCAGATTATTGCAGTATATATTTTATATACCATGACTCCATGAGTCATGTTAACAGAATTAAATTAATACGGGCAATAGTGGTATCGATGATGGATTTGAATATTGCGAAACACAAAATCATCCTAGTAAAATGCCATTACTTTTAAATACAACCATTATCCAAGTTATTTGCAAAAAGCGGGATAAGTATGAGTTATTTTTCCGAACTTGTGACAATTTTTTCCGTGAGTACAAAAATACGAATCAAAAATTAATTATATTCGGGAACTTTATAAATAATTTGGATAATGGTTGGTATTTAAAGTATGGGCATTTTACTAGGATGATTTTGTGTTGCGCAAATTTCCAATCCATCATCGATTACCACTATTGCCGTATTAATTTAATTCTGTTAACATGACTCATGGTATATAAAATATATGGTAATTAAATTCTATTAATCATAACTCAAATGTTGGTAAATCGGGCAGTTTACCACACATTTAAGGTCACAGATCGTTAGAATTATAATAGTTTAATTATTTTGTAAATACTAATCCGAAATTATAATTGGGCAGTTTACCGCGTATTTTATGTCCACAAATACCCGTGGTATTTGGTATTAATACTTTCATTATTTATCATATAAAATAGGAATCAATATTTAATAAAATCGGTAAGTTTACCACAAATTTTATGTCCACAGATTGCCGATACAACCATGAGTTACGTTGAACAGAATTAAATTAATACAGCATGACATTTTAAATGCTGGTACCAGTCATGGATTGGATTATTTTGCACAACAAAAAATCATCCTGGTAAAGGATCGATACTTTTAACTATCGTTATCAGAATTATTTGCCAGAAATTATTTTCTAATAAATCGACTTGTTTTTTCAACTTGTGACAATGTATTGGATATCGTAACAATGACTGTTATAAATACCGTATTTCCCGGCTAATAAGTCCACATGGCAAATAGGACGATGTCTATATAGCACTCCAAAAAGGGGTTTTTCCATATAGGCCTCCAATAAGACGGGTAAAAAATTTGTGTCCCTGTTGTTCAGTTATGCTGATGTGCGCTAATAATTTAAATGTTTAGAACCAGATCATGTTAGTTTGGTAGAATCATACTCACAGAATTAACTATTTTTAACAACTGAGCGGTAAATTTAAGTTGTAAAGCGACGATCATTTTGGACAACCTATTAACCCGAATGTTGAAATAATTTTTGAATGTGCATAAGTAATACACTGTAGGTCCACGGGTTATTTCACAGCTGTGTTTTCCTGTCGTGTTCTGCTGAATCGGCAAAACGAAAGGGTCACAAATCGCTTTATCTCGGTGGCCTAGAAAAGCGACTTATTAGCTGGGAAATAGGGTAATTGTCAATTTTTCGTGAATTTATAAATTAGAAGCCTCGTAGACGAATGTCGGCAATGTCCACCCACGCAAACGTGCAAATGTGTCGCAACACTATGCGACATAGGGTCGCACAGAATATAAACAATCGAAGTGCCGATTCTATTTCATCGTCATTACAATACGTGAGACAGCGTAAAAAGTCGTTTTAAGATTCGTAAAACGAAACGCCACGTTTACGGCGAAAAATGGCTACTCTGCGGAATTATTCGAAAATCAGCCGAAAAAGTATTCGATTACTTTGATATTCGAATACATTCGAATATTTGATTCGTTTTGGACAACCCTGATTACAATATTCAACAAAAATAGTATCTCCAATAGTAATCCCCTGCGTTACACATAACTTATAAACTGACATTATCCATACCTACGAGAGCACGGTTGGCAGATGGAATGAGTTTTTTCGAACCGGATGGCAATTTTACTCTTGTGCGTTTGGTATCCGGGTTATGAGCAATGATTGTTGCATAATTTCCAGATGTTTTCGCAACTTTGCCGCGATCCCCCATTTTTTCCTCAAGACAGCAGACAACTGTACCTTCAGGCATTGAACCGACTGGTAGGACATTTCCGATTTGAAGCTGGGCTGTCAAAAAATTAATGCACATTAAAGACAAGAGCCGTCACGGCACTATACTTCTCCTGCATTGAGTTATTTTAATCCATTGAATCTGATGTATCTGAATATTGGTTTCCGACTCAAAACCAAAATAAGATGAGTCGGTCGTAGAATTCAGAATTCAATCTACCATGGGTCGAACACAATGACACACACTTATTATTGTGCATTGTTGCCTGAAGAACACATGGTATGTTAGTTTATTTACAATAGATAAGTCAAAAATAATTCCACCATTTTTTATAAAGTTACGTAGGAAACGATTGAAAAGACCAGATTGTGTTGCCGCAATTGAAACGATAGGCTGAATCAAGCATAAGTTAAAAAAAAATAGCTGATCACAAAATTTGTGACCAACCTACCGTATTTTTCATTGTTTGTTTTAATTTGCACACACAATATAATGGCTGCAGTAATGCTGAAAATAACTATCAGACAAATCAAGACTGTTTATCTGAAAATTCTCGGCCAAGCTCCAAAAGCCAACGAAACACAAAATAATTCTAGGTAGTACTACACATTTAACAAATAAACTTACTTCACCTACCCTTTTTGCCACAATAAATAGCTTGACCGGTATAATTTCCTTCCACTGCAACAAAGGTTTCCATTCGTCTTTTGTACTTGTATGGATCTTGAAATTGAACCTTCACCAAAGGTGCTCCCCTACCTGGATCATGGACAATATCCTAAAACAAGACAGAATATAAACATAAACGATGTGCAAATGGACCAATCAAATACATGTTGAAGGTGTTTCAGTGTTAGGTTCCATCAGGGGAGGGAAATCGCTGTAACAATTGTGTTTCAATTTGAAAGTTGTACTTCTGGTGCTAAATATGGGCAATAGTTGGACAAAAAATACCACCATCACATGACAGAAAACAATGCAAGGGAATGGTTTCTTTTCTACAATTTCATATGTACAGTAAAGCTCATTTTCACAAGTCTTCACAGGAAACATGTTTAATATTTGACTTTCAACCCATCTGGGTCTCAAGAATCTTGATGTTGTTTTAAGACTTAAGTGATGTTAAGAATTGAGAAATTCTAATCTAACTTTTTCTGTAAAATTTGTCGGGAAATTGTGTAAACGGAGTTATATTTGCCATTTATAACAATTATACCTTAAAATATTCTAAATTGATTGCAAAGCAGATCTGCAATATCCAACTATGGTCATAGAATATATTCAGATAATAGTTCTAACAATCTAATATATTTTTAGATATTAGATATTTTTAAGCCAATTAAAAATCAAGCCATAATCAAATAGTCCCGCTATTAATTCATTATTCAGTGTATACAAATTTCAGAATGTTATATTCTGAGACAATTTCATCAACATTTTTCAGGAAGTCAAAACTGTCGGTAGATTTGATATTAGGAAGTTTCATTTTAGCTTCATAACATAAAAAGGGAAAGTTGTCACACAAACAGTAGCACCATACATGCACTTATGAAAGATATTCCCCACACACAAGAGCAATAATATGATGCCACCACTTGCAGACCAGATTAGATGATATTCATGTCTTACAGTCCTAGTATCACACTCTTACGGAATTGGTTTACAACATACTGACATAGGTATTCTCCAAATAGGAAAACGAAGAAAGGTGCATATAGCAAATTAAATAATTAGACATATTAGACAAACTAATCAGTGAATGAGGTTTCTCATAGTTGTTGAAATGCTAAGTCATACAAGTCCATTCACGGTTTAGCAAGAACAGCATTGTGCAGAAATGTTTTCCGAAAAAATATATATCGTAGAAGAAAACAGTATGTCATGCTGTTTTGATTTTGTATAGTTTCGCTGCTTTGAGTAATACCTGACAGTTTAACCACGTGATTAGGTATGTAGATCATATACACCAGTCTGGATTTCATGGCCTTTTTGAACGAGAAATCGGGCATGCAATCAGAAATTCCCGCGTTCAAATAAGAATTTCTGGCGTGCAATTATAGCTCACGGCGTGCAAAACAACTCCGCCCGCGTGAAACTGACTTCGACCTAAGATACCTCTCAATACATCCGCGTAAAATTACCGGTATAGGATAAAAATTATGTTAAATCATAGCAAAAATGGACGTTTGACCTTTGACCCCCAAACATTATTTCTACAGTTTGTGCAACTTTGGTTACCGGTACTGCTCAGTACATTCGCGTAAAATTATTGGATGAAAAATATGTTAAATCAGAGCAAAATGGACATAATTCGTCATTAATTTGGAAGTGTTTTTACGTGGAATTAGTGGATGAAAAATACGTCAAATCAGAGCAAAAATGAACGTTTGAACTTTGACCCCAAACACTATTTCTATATTTTGTCACTAATTTTGAGAGTGTTTGTGCGACTTTAAATACTGGTACTGTTCAGTACATCCGTGTAAAATAACTGTATAAAAAATACGCTGAATCAGAGCCATAACTGGCCAGTGTCGGTGAGGAGGCGATCTTTCTCACAAGATTCCTATCATTCAACACGATATGGTGTTTTTTGCTTCGCATTTTTCGATCAGGCCAAATCTTGCAAGCTAGTATTAGTCGACAATTGTGAAGTTATGATTTTTGGCATCTTTATATTACTAGATTATTGATTTAAAAACTATTTAAACCGATTTACATTGGTGAGCAATCGCAAATTTTCGGCGTGCAAAATTGAATTCGCTTGCATGCATTTTTGGGGAGTGCGAGCGCCCTCGGGCGTGCATCTGCCATGGAATCCAGTCTGGCATATGCTTATTCAATAATTTTGATAAGTCAGTAAGTTAACTTTAATGTTAACATTTTCAGAGAAATCAAGATTAAGACAATCCCAATCAAGACAATCTCATGGTTGCCAAAAATAGCGTAATGTTACTAAAATTAAGTTTACTGTTGAAAACTAAACAGTAATCACATCCCTTTGGCACTTGCGAGTTCAGAAATTAGGTACTTCAGTACTTAACATACACCTGCTGTTATCAAGTACAGAAAGTTAAGCTACCTTAATAATTCCTTTTAGATAACCATGACGTTCTGCGTAGTCCACAGCTCGTAATTTCGCTGCCCCTTTCCTATGTTTCGTGTGAGCTTTAAAGATGCCGCCAGGTCCTTTTCGCTGACACCTGATGACCCGTCCCATACTCGGAGTCAAGCCTGAAACAATAGAACAAACGATCAATTGACAAATCAGATTGCTTAAATAGCATGTAATTATAGTTGATCAAACTTTTGTACCGCTATTTCAAATACTAAATATCAACTAAAAGGCCGATTTCACAAGATAAAATAGTAACGCAAAATCCGAACAACCAACCTCAAATCAGCGGAGAAAAAGACCGATCGAACGTATTGATGAGCTGAGAGCGCCTTGGATACGCATGAATGAATTTGTGGAATATCGGTATAAGTTTACAGTATTCACATCGCATAATGAGCTCAATACAAAATGAAAAACAAAAATAAAATATAATAAAAAGACATATAAAAGTACACAAAACTTATTCGTAGTTCAAAACACGTATATTATGAAAATCATATAATTTTTATCTCGACCTTTGACACTACCCGTTTTCTTCAGAAAACATCTACTTCCTTGTTTATTTTGTCACCATAACCAATCAGCAATGAGTAAACAATGACATGCCAATTGCAAGTTATGAAGCCGCTTAGACACTTCTGTTGCTCCGACAAATATTTGGGCATGGTTGTAAACATTGCCTCGTTATTGTAGTTTCGAGTATTATATGTCAGTTTTCCGTTGTGTTTCAAAAAATAGCCGTAAATTAAATTAGTTAATTGTCATGATGTTTACTGATGAAGCAAAAAATAACGCCTTTTTATTGTCAGCGTCACAGTATCGCGGTCAAATCTATTTTATCAGATTAGTTGCAATAATCAAAAATTAATCTCGCAAACGTTGACATATACTAGGCAAATATTATCTATTAATACCTTTAAGCGGTACATGGTTGAATAATTTTGATAAAAATGATGGCTTCCAACCAGTGGCGGGATTCAAACTTTTTGTCATCCGGTTCTTTCACAAAAGTCATATATTTCAGCCGGTTCTGTTGCAAACAGAACATTGACAGTAACCAGTAATGCTAACCAGTTCGCTGATCTCATAAAATTCGATTCGATTCTGAAATCACAAGGTATTCGAAAATGCCCAGCCCTACCTGCCAGTTATTTGTGTATTCGATATTATATATCTGGAGTAATAAAGTTTGTTACTTGTAATTTTCTCAAGTATTGCGGTCTTCACTGTGATATCTATAACTTTTTGTTAGTGTTTTTCATATAGAATATACCTTAGAGCAGGGGTGGCGAACCTTTTTCAATGAATGGGTCAAAAATTATATTTTTATCGCGGAACAGAAGAGAGTGGGTCACAGATATATGATCAATGTTTGTATCTATAAGAAACTTCTGAAACAAATCTTTTAGGCTTATTTCAAGTCTGAAAGATTTTGTTCTCTTAACGGTATTGTGGGCGAGGAACTAATAAAATACAAAGTAGCATCTAGTTCTCGCATTACCCCTAAAACAGTCTGCAGATAAACTTCCGAAAGAGACCAAACGTAGCGACAAATGAACATATCAGTTGCATTGTTATGTCATAAACGATGTCAGAGCCAATAGCTGAATAATGGTTCACAGCGGTGCAGACATGCGTCCAAGATTAGGGGTTTTGAAAATTACCATACCGGCCCGAAATTAACAATTTGAATATGAGCTCTCGCGGCCCTGACTGCCCAACTGACGGTAGATTATAATAGTTTAGGTATTGTTAAATTAATTTAAGGCCGGTTTTATCAATTTTTATCATTGATATGTTAGCATTTTTTTATTATTTTATTCGTGCCTTGGCGGGTCACGAATAAAACGCGGTGGGTCACTTTGTGACCCGCGGGTCAGTGGTTCGCCATTCCTGCCTTAGAGGTTGGTTATCACAGGTACATTTTTGTGGTGTATTTGATTCTATACTTTTTTTAAGATTTTTATCGTTCACCGCCTATACATAAAGTGAACTTCGTTCGCGAGACACGATCTTTAAAAAGGTAACCCAGCTCGAGAATTAGTAGGGTCCGCTAATGACTTATACTAGCGCATACTATTTTTTGTCTCCAATTAACTACATTTTAGACCTTACGTGGATTTGTGTGCTTTTCTGATTCTATACCTAGTCTTTTTGTTCTATTGTCGGTAAATCTATAGTATATACTATATTCAAATCTGCTGTGATAATTTATTGAGTAGCTGAGGTGTAGTTGGTGGTTACTGCAGAATTCAGAGTGATGGTTCGGCCATCACTAAATAAGAAACAAGAAGAAAACTATGAATCAAATTTGCTCAGCTAAGCTTGCTGATGTCCCCATGGAAGACCTCTAATTTGAAGTGACTGTTTCAGCCTGAAAATTATGCCGAAGTCCATGCAAATCCATGCCTCTAACCCGATCTAATGTACCCATGACACTGAAAGAAGACCTCTAATTTGGAGCGAACGTTAGAGCCTGAAAATTATTATGAAGTCCATGCGAACCTCTTTTCAACAGTCTAAAAACAACAACACCTGATGCAATTTATCAAAAACCAGTTTCATTGGACACGGGAGGACCTATTGATCGTTTGGTTGTTAATGTTGTTGTTATTGTTAATATTTTTCTTTCTGTCGTTATGGAAAAATCGCTTTTCTCTTTAATTACTGGACCAATTGCTTTTAACCAATTTTCAGTGGTTGACGATTGTATTTTTTGCTAGAAGAATATTATCCATTTTGAATCTTTCTGTGATCTTTACAAAAAAAAAAATTTTGTGCGCTATGACGTCTTCAAAACACCTGTGTTGGGGTGTGCCCCTTGAGGCGGTTCCGCGGAGACATATCAACGGATGTCGTGCCAAGCGAATGTCGGCGCATCTCGTGCTTAGCTGAAGGGAGAAGTTTTCATGGGTAATTGTAGACTGCCGTATCTGGTAATACAAAAGTGAGTCGGAACAGTTGGTATTTCAATTTACGTTGAAACTGAATGATGAAAAATGGATCATCGTCACAGGACCTAGAAAAGCTATGGCTGTAGTCGGGGTGCCGACAATTTTTAACGATAAGAAAGTCTCTTTAAAACCGGTCCAAGTCAAGGGATTAATAATAGACATAGATTATTTTGAAACCTCTTTCAAAGGAAAGGCAATATTTACCCAGATAAATACAATGACATATTAACAGAAACTTCGGGAAAGCAGACAAAACCTAAAATAAGGTTTAAAACGTTACTATGAAGAAAGGAAAGTTAATGCAAAGATAAGGACATGCGTCGCTCACTCATAGATATATATGCTGCTAGACTTCTACTGCTTGAACATATATGCAACACGCCGCGGTTTCTTGGAAGCAAAATGCTCAATAACGGGCTGATTAAAGTCATGCATCCCAGAAATAACGTCTCTGTGAATGGATAAAACAGCCAAGGAATTTAATCTATCTTGCTTCATTGTGTTTCTGAGATAGGTTTTAATACGCTTCAGCGTGCTGAATGTTCGCTCTGCGTCGGCGGAAGAAATAGGCGTCGTCAAAATGATGTCCAGAAATTTTGCAGACGCCGCAAAGGTAGTTACTAGAGTGTTATCTATGAGGAACCCATAGAGCGCGCAAGTTGATGTGATGTTCAAAAAAGTTTGATTGGTGTATATACATCGCAATTCATTTTCCAATTTACCCACGTTTATCATGGGGTAAAATTTGGAGACAGTAGCCAACAAATGGATGGGAAATTGACGTGCAAATTTTGAAAAATTTTTGGGGTTCATCCAAGAGAACGCGGCAAGGTGTTCAGTGCGCAGACGATCGCCTATTTGATTCACCAGAATGTCACAGTATTCCTTTGCAGACAAAATCAAACGCTGCGTTGTTTGCCCGCGGCGTAAAGAAGCACTCCATGTTTCGTCGTATTTTATTGTTTCCCGGATACGAGATACAGCATCGCAGAAGTCTGAAATACACGACTGCACAGACGCTCCATCCATTAGCCTTGACTGCAATGCGCCGTATAATACATCCACGTGATAGAATATTGTGGAGAAAAAATGAAAACTCACCATCTTCTAGCAGACGCTTTAGACCTGCCGCCTCCCTCACAGAGCGTTCGTCCCAAACCGGAGAGCTCTGAATGCCATTGAAACACTCAATGAGCTCAGACCTAATTTCGGACACGCCCTGCACCACGCGTGATTGGAAGTTCCAACGTGTTGATGCACAAGCTGGGAGACGGCGGCTACATATCTGGCTTCGGCGAAACGGAAAAAAATGAAGAAAACCCCGAAACATTTGCAAAAAATATACGGACGAGAGGGGTATCAAGACACATATTGTTAATAACGAGGTTAAATTGGTGTGCATAACAATGTATAAAATGCGCATGAGGAAAATCTTCTTTTATATAAACTTGAACACCATGTTTCGACCCACTCATGACTGCCGCGCCGTCATAAGTTTGAGCTATCAATTTTGACTTCGCGTTGTAAGGCTGTGACCCTTCTTTCAGTACAGCCGATATCCCGCAAGCCGTGCGATCAACGATTGGTACAAAGCTGTGAAATCTCTCGGTAGGTTTACCATCTTTCACAAACCGAAAAATCACAGCCAGTTGGGAAACGCACGTGATGTCAGTTGTCTCGTCAGACTGAATCGAAAGGAACTGGCAATTCTCAATTTCCAGAGCCAAATGTTGTAAATAAATTTTATACATTGAGTCGAGCAAATCATTTTGGATATCCTTAGATGTCCCTTTCGAAACAGTTGCGGCATCAAGATGATCTCTCAATACTGTATCTAGGGATGCGGTGTATTCCACCATATCCAAAAATACCCCTCTATTAGAAGGGACAGCTCGTGACAACCAATGAACTTCAAAACATCTATCAATAGACCGAGAACATGGCGGTTTTTCTCGACGTTTTGGTTGTGCCGACGAATAGAAACCGCGCGTCCTTCATCCAACTGTGCTGCAATATTAACATTTCCGAATGTTCGGTATTTTACCCATTCTCCAGATGCTCCATAGAAGATTGATGATCCCTGGCACGCTCGGAAAGATGTTTAAGATCTCTAAAACCAAATTTACACCAACGTGAGTCACGGGCGGTAGCAAAAAGTAGGCAATAAAAACAAAAAAGTGCATTTTTGTCCTCGCTGTAAAACAACCATTCGTGTTTTTTATACCAAGTTTCTGCGCAGAATGTACGCCGACGCTTTCCTCCGTCATGGGATTGTTCCAGTGTACAATTTTTTGGTTAATAAGGCCCAAAACCTTATTCATTATGAGGTCTAAGGCTAAGAAATGCGAAGCCGGAAAGAAGTGAGGAGCCCAAAAGGAATGTGGAAAATCGAAAGCAAATGGACTAAAGGTCTCTAACTGATTTAAATAGCAAAACAAGCGACAAAAACGAAGGCGAGGACACTATCAACTCTTCAAGCAACCAACGAACGAGAAGGAATGCGTGAATATATCAACACGTTGTTGTAAGAAACGTCGGAAATAGCCCGGATGAATTAGCCCCGATGAATTAGTAAAAGAAACAGAAAACAAACGAGACAAACGCGGCGAGTGGAAGATAAAAGAGAGAATACGATATACAATGAGCAACCGGGGCAAAATCGGCGTCGCCCCGTCGACGTTCGGCGAAGGCTTTGCGAGCGAAAAATGAACCATGCCGGGAGAATATGGCTAGTGTAGACAGTCTGTGCAACCGATATTGAGGTATTTTTCGAATATTTTTTATTATACCGAAATTCCCCGAATATCAATAACCATAGGTTTACAACCCCACAGCATGAAAAGTTGCATTCATTTTATAGAAGGGACTTTTCAGAAAATTAATATCCATAGGTTTACAACAACACAGCATAAGAACTATGCAATTCAAGAGTTCTGCTGCGCACTAACACAAATGTTTTTCTGAAACGTTTCGTCCAAAATCAGACTTCCTCAGTAAAGCAGTTTACAACAAAAAACGGCGGCATAAGCAGTTGCATTTATTTTATAGAAGCTA